AGTTAGCAAAACCAGTCTTAACAGCTTCAACGTCTGGTTGGGTAACATTCTTCAATGCACATCCACCGTGGAATTTAAGAGCACGAATACTGGCAACAATGACAGCAACAGATGGCTTCAAACCAGAAATTCTGCACTTGATGTCAAAGAACTTTTCACCACCAATATCACCACCAAAACCAGCTTCAGTCAAAACAAAACCATCTTCACCAACAAGTCTCAAAGCAATATCATCAGCAATAATACCATTTTGACCAGCAGCAATATTAGCAAATGGACCAGCATGAACAAAAACTGGAGTAGATTCAATAGTTTGCATCAAAGTTGGCTTAATGGTGTCCTTCATCAAGACAGCCATAGCACCAGCAACACCAACATCTTCAGCAGTAACTGCATTACCATCACGATCATAGGCAACAGTAATCTTACCAAATCTTTCTCTCATGTCTGTCAAATTCTTGGACAATGCCAAAACAGCCATACATTCAGAGGCAACAGCAATATCAAATTGAGTTTCTCTGGTTTGACCCTTTTCATTTGGACCTTGGCCAATAGTGATCTTTCTCAAATGTCTGTCGTTAATATCAACAACTCTGTTAATCTTAATAGTGGCTGGATCAATATTTAATCTGACGAGTTTTTCTCTTTCTTCTGGTGTTAATTTATCTGGATCTTCTCTTTCAGCAATACCTAATTTGGCCAATCTTTGGATCATGGATGGAACAAATTGTCTCTTTCCGTCCTTACCAGCTGGACAAAGGTGATCAAAGAGTTGATCAGTCTTTTGATATGATTCATGGAAAACTCTAGTATCAACAGCAGCAGCCAACAAGTTATTGGCAGCAGCAATAGCGTGAATATCACCAGTCATGTGCAAATTGAATTCTTCCATAGGAACCTATTGTCAAATGATCATAAAATTTGAAAAAACAGTTCAATTATTGTGCACTTACAATTTGTGAATAACCACCTCCAGCAGCACCACCCTTGATACCCTATAATTATTATTTGATTAATTATCATACTCCTCATTCAAAACTTACAAAAACAGGTCCTTGTGATGGTTGTCTTAAACAAGAAACAACCTTTTTTCCGAGATGAGCACCCAAAGCTTGTGAGATACCCAAACAAGTTGTTGATTTACCTTCACCGAGAGGTGTTGGATTAATACCAGTAATCAAAACATAATTTCCCATTGGAGCATCTTGTCCTAAACGTTTAAGAATTTTCTTTCCATCAATCTTAGCCTTGTACTTTCCGTAAAATTCCAATTCTTCGTCAACATCAATGCCATAACGTGTGGCAATATCACCAATAAATTCAGGTTTACAATGTTGAGACACTTCAATATCACTTGGGACAGGGACACGAATTTCACTCAATTTCTTACCAGTAATTGTTTCTTGTTGGGACATTTTTTTGTTGGTGTTGTTGTTGCAACCGGTTGAAGAACTGTAAGAGCGAAAAGAAGAGCCGGTTGAAGATGTTCTTGCTGATGATTCGCTACAATCAATAATATTAACATATTTGTGATGGGAAATTTGTTTGGCGCCAAAATTTAGGGAAGTATTCTTCTTCTTGTTGGTTGCAAGGCTTTTTGAGAAGCTTCTTCTTATCGATGATGATGAAGAGGTGGTTGAGCAAGTTGTTGATGATGCATTGTTCAATTGATGATTAGGAGTGTTACCGATGAGACGATCATGACACCAAAGTGATTGAATATTACACTTGGATTTTGTAATCTTACGAAGCATATGACGTGGATTTAGATATTTACAATAATAGGAAGATTAAAAAGATCAATCTACTACTACAATTAATGATGAAGCAAATTACAAGCAGATGAAATTGAACTCAGTTCCGAAGTATTATTAACCAACAAGAATTGTTTCAATTTTTTTGATTTTAAAAAGCTCGTGCTAACAAGGGTTATGTGTGTTATTTTAATCGTCGGGTTAGAGGTGCAGTTTCTCTAAATGTCATCAAGTAATACGAACAATTGCATTTCCATTGATTGGAATAGAAAGTTTTTGAATGGCTTAATTATAAAAAGAATCCGCTACTATTTCAATAATTTGCAAGGGTTGACTTGCACCTTTCTATTACAGTTAAATAGAATAATAAACATGTAGTGTTTCCACTTACAACAAATGATTTCTATTTGGGGCATCTTTGTAACCAGTATTCAACTACAGTTTGTTCAAGAAACTGTATTTGTGAAATATTGTAAAGTGGAATATAATTTATTGGAATTTCTTCTTGGCATATTCCTCACCAAATAATTTACAAAGTACATTCATACATGGTCCATATTCTGCTTTCTGCATTAAATCCCACTCTACAGTAAATAATACGAAATGTTTAAATAAAGTATTGATGTGAGCTGAGATACCTAAATTATTAATATATGATCCATGTCTATGATAAATGTGTGCAAAAACTCTAAAAAGTCTTGAAAATATTTTAACAACAGTTGGTTTGACTATTTTAGAAACGGATCATGATATTCTAAACAAATTATTCTAAACTAAACTTACATTTCTTTGGATATGCTTTATCATCTTGTTGTGGAAATACTTTTGGATCATCCAATTTAGTATCAATCCATTCAGATAATAAATTAATATACAAAGGAGCCGAAACTGTTGTTGGTTGATGATATTGTACATTAGTTGATTCATCATCGAACCATCTATATTCATAACAATCTCCACCACTCATAGATGGACAATTTAATTCAGTACAATCATGATTTAATTTCATACTATCAATTAGTAGGAATAAATTTTCATAAAATTCCAAAACGTGTTGAGCCAACCAATCCTTCTCATCAACTTGTGAAGGTAATTTTACCAATTGTTCCAATTCTCTAATACTTGCTGAGAGTCCTGATATGATCACTGATTGTCTGTGATGATGGTGATGATGACCATTTGATGTACTTGTGGTTGGTGCTGTTGTTTGTTGCACTGTAAAAATTGATTGTTGTCTCTTTCGTTTGAAAAAGTTAGATAACATCCTTGCTGCTGTTGATATTGATTATAATAAAGAAGTCTCGTTCAAGAAAACACAAAGGTTTACAGTACTGGTTAGTTGATTAATTGTTGAGACTTTTTTTTCAGTTTGGTGAACAATCAACTATCAACAATGAAGGGATTATTGGGTTTGAGGTGGTACAGAGGTTAGTGGAACTTCCAATAAATTAGAACATAGTGGTGTTGCATTCAAAATATTTGTGGTTGCAATTTTGAAATAAACAATAGAATTCTAATCTACTTTGTATGTTGGAAATGAAATCATTTGATTTTTTAAAAAAAATATTAAGACCTTAAACACGCATTTTCTTAGCCCTTTTATGTTCAAATAGAATTACCATTCTCAAATTTATGAATGAAAAAATTTCACATGATAGTCCATTTCTTTTTTGTTACATAAATGAATTGGGATTTAAATATCCAATAGGACAATGTTGTCGCAATAATAGTGTATATGATATTGTAGACAACTTGTATCACATGAGTTCAGAAAAATAATTGTCTCAAAAATACTGCAAAGTTCATTATTCACTAAGTGAAATCCTTTAAGGTAACACTTTATCCTGCAGCAACCTCTTTAATTGCTAATAAATTGAGGCTCGTAGAAAAATTCCAAATAACAAAGCACAAAAAATGGCATTAGAGAATGATTTCAAAGATAGTTGGACCTGCAAATGTGGAGCCCTCAATGGAAAACAAGATATTCGGACAGCAACGGATGGTAGAATTTATAGGATTTGTAATTCATGCAGTTGTACAATAGATGTGTGTATTCCTGCACATGATATAATCTCACATAGATATGTCAATAAATGTTGTGGTTTACGACGTTCAATTCCCCGAACAGGCTGTAATTGTACTGCTTACCAACCTGTTAGAGGATTTGAATGTCGTTGTGGACATCATGGATCAATTCATCGCATTGCTAGCATTCCTTATAAAACTGGTACAGTGAATACTAAAGTGAAGAAGAGTGAATTGAAAGACAGTGGATTATCTTTTGATATTAATTCTGTTGACGATCTCCAATAAATTATTTATTGAGAGAGGTTTACAGTTTTAGATTTCCTAGCTTAAATCTCAGTCCATTTTCTCTAGAATTTAATGTCACATAAATCAATAGGATGGATTATTTGTAAAGACAATACTACTGTTTGTTGCTTGGAGAGTGGATGATGAATTTGGAACTGAATTATGTATTTGTTTTCTAGAGGAATTTCCTCCTCGAATTGAGGAAGGCATTTCAGAATAGGTGTGACCATCTGAGGGTGTTGCATCCAGAGCTATACTATATGGAGCTGCACTTGTTGTAGAGTTGGCCGTTAAATTAACACTTTGAATTGGCCTTTTTCTTTGATTATTTACAGAACTTGTTTGTTGTACATTTCGAATATTTGCATTATCTTTAGGTTCAATGCAAGGAGAAATTGGATTCTGTGAATCACCAATTGATGGATCATCCAAAAGAAGTGATAAAGGAGTTGCCAATACTTGTTGTGAAGAGAGAGTCATGGATAGTTGTGGAGGTGGCATTTGCTGTTTTGGTTTTCCTCCAATCTGATGATTCATCTTATTTGATTTCTCAATTTGATGCATTCTATAAACATCTTGTTTCAATTTCTTTAATTTCTTTGCAAGTCTCATCTTTTGATTCGAAAGTTTTTCCAAAATGTGATGAATTGTTTTTTCCTTTAATTCCCATTGATTTAAACTTGAATTATGATGGTGATGTTGTTGAATTAGAATTTGTTCTCTCTGTTGAAGAAGAGCAGAAAGGCCATGTTGTATTTGATGATAATGATGAGAAGTAGAATCAAATGGTTGTTCCGATAGAGTTTGATAAGCAATCGGAGAAGAATTTAAATAATTATTATTATTGTGGCGATGATGATGGTGATTATGAAGAGTTTGAGGTTGATTATTACTATTCATCACAACAAGCAATTAAAAAGTTTTGTCTTTCTTTGTTGGACGTTAGTTCGAATGTTTGGTGGAATTTTTTTTGTATTGAAAATTAAATAATTTTTCAAAAAAGAAATTTCGAATTAATTTTCCAATAAACTCTACCTTACCATCAACTTAACGACACAAATGACAGATTTAATTCGGTCATCAATAACGTCATCAACTATTTTTATAATTTCCAAGTTCAAAAAATTATCACCACACTGATCATCCCTTGTTTCATCATTAATTTCATTCATGCTATTTTTCTTTGATTTTATCTATCACCAGGTTTATAAATTTCTCTATTCTGCCTTGGATTTGTTTCTTCCCCAGAAGAAATTTCAGCTTTTGTCATTTGAAACTACTTCTAAAACTTATTCTGAACTGATGCAATGTATGCAGTTGGCCTTCCAAAAAGATGACTTTCGCACATTAGATAATCAAAGAGATCAGATACTCAATGATACTGGGTATGGTGTTGAGTTTAAGAATTTTTTTCTGAGCTATGTACAGATTTCTTCTTATTACTATTCAACGGATGATTTATACAGATATAGTATGAAGGGATGTGCTGCATTTATTGTAGTTATGGATTCTAATACAGGTTATGGATTGAGTACTAGTACATATAGTAGTGTTACAGTAAAAGAGTTAATTGAACTTTCATCGGTGGATGATTCTCAATATTCAGAAAAGAAACCTAAAGTTTACTTGAAGAAAAATCATAGACCAATGCTATTCATTCTACGAGGTACAGATAAGGCAATGATTAAAAAAGCAGAAGAAGAAATAGAAAAAGGAATTTCTGAATGCCAATACGAAAGGGATAAATATTATATTGCCTATCATGATTCAACTTTGGAGAAGGAAACTATTTATGAAGGAATGGAATGGATATTATCCAAACAATCTTCTTAATATAAATTATATTATTATTTAATTATTATTTATCATTCATAAAATCAATCCCTTTATTGAGATTGCATTCAATAAACTCATAAATTATCAAATTCCATCATACCATCAATACTACCATTATTATACGTTTCATATATTTCAATTTTTCAATTCCAAAATTAAGTTTTAATACTTCCTTCGTTTGGAATTTCATAGAAATATTTATACAAAACTCCAACACCTGGAATTCCAAGCAATGCAAGCATTATCATTTCTCCAACACTCAAATGCTTCTTTATCATAAAAAGATTTTGTTTAGCAAGTCGGAACAAGGCTAAAAAACTGCCATCATCCACAACCTTTTTTCTTTCTGCTCTTTGTCTGGCATCTTCGGAAGTAGAAACAGGTGCTGGTGTTGTTGTTGTTTCCTTCTTTGATTCTGAGTATTCTCTTCTTACAGAAGTGACAATATTCGAACGAATGGAAATATTTGATGATGAGAAAGATTTTAAACCTTGGGAGGCTTTTTTGATTTGGCGTGCAAGCATTTTTTTCTTATTTGAAAATTTCCATATTGAGTTTAAACTCAATAATAATTGGCTAAGAAGATAACATGTTTACAATTTTAATATTATCAGTTTACTCAATTACAATAAATATTTTGTAATGAATAATGAATGGTAACACTTGTAATAAAATTCAACGACAAAAAAAATGAATCATCAACAAGGATATTCCTTGCTTTCAATTTTATGTGGAGTAACAATCAGTCTATCTCTGATAATGCTCCTAACTCCGAATGGTGGTGGGTTGCAAGCTCAAAATTTAGGATGTACTTCTTATAACTTTAAGTGTTGTAGAAATATTCATTATCCAGTGATGGCCATAGTTGCCAATACTTTTGATCAATCAACTTGTAAAACGATTGATATCATGTTGAGAGGACAGTTGGCAAATGCTACAGTAGCATGTAAACAAGCCTATGTTGAGACATATTGTCTTTCTGCTATTCCTCAATGTTGTCCAAATCAACCAGTAAGTTGACATATCTCACTAAATTAATTTTAATATTTTGACAGGTTGTTTATCATGTCTGTGCCAGTTCATGTAGAAATTTATTGAACCAATGTGGTCACCACGTAAATTTTACAAGCTGTGACTCTGCTCCATTCTATCCTGAACCTTGCAATAGTGGTCGTGGTGTTTCTTGTGCACAATCTTACAAGATTTTAGGAGATAATGATGAAGAACTCGAACCTTAAAAAGGTAAACTATTTATTTACAAGTGAATTTAATTATGCAATCGATCGTCAATAAAGATAATGGTCCAATCATATCCTTATTAATTCTTTTGTCTTTGTTTAATAACATCATTGTATTCCTTCTCCTGTGTCAGACGTGGATTTTCTGTTCCGGCAGGGATCTCACGTTTGAATAAAAGAATATGTTGTTCGCTTGATGAAGGAGAGTATCCATAATGAACCCATCCTCTGGACATTTGAATGCCCAAGCCTCGCCATTCCTTCTCAGCGAGAAGTCTCTCACAATTTTGAATACATTCTGCCAACTTTTCTGGTAAAATTACATGTCTATATTCATATTCATCATCATAATACTATTAAATTTCCGTTGATAAATTAGTAATCAATAATTGTTGTTGTATAGTCACTGAAACAACTAACCTTGTCAGAGTAGTAAATTTCGTCCTTGTTGCTCATTTTTTTTTAATTTGATTATTAATTAAAATTGGGCGCCAAAATTTTGACAATTTAAATAATCATTTTTGGCGGTTCTAGCGTTGGAAGGAACATTGAATGTTTTAAATTACAAATCATAACGGTAACATGAAAGAAATTCCATCAATTAGAGAACTTAATGATGTGTAATATTCTTAACTTGTTGAACAATTGATTTTTAATCTTTCTTGTAAATTAAAATCGAAATAAAATTGAATAGAATGAAATGGCAGCTTTTTTCATTAATTTTAAATAGAATGAATTTATTTGCACCAAATATCAAAAAACCTTTTTTAAATTAATTTACTTCTTTTCAGCAGCTGGAGCTTCATCCAATTCTCTGCAGTATGGCTTTGGAAGATCACCATCTTGGAAAAGGAGAGTCTTTTGTCCACCAAGTGGTTCAGCATATCTACGTCCATTTTGAGAACCAATTTGTTTTGGATATTCACCCTTCTTCAACATTTCAATAATTTCAATAGCACGAACAGCTGTCAAATCTTCGAAATAATCATATTTAAATTCTGGAGGGTTAGAGTAATCGGAAACAGCAATCATTGGAGCATTAGCACAACAACCCATACATTCCATTTCTCCTAAAGTGAACAAACCATCTTGAGTAGTTTCACCCAATTTAATTCCTAAATGTTGTTCAAGAGTAGCCAAAATATTATCACATCCAGTTATCATACATGGAGTAGTAATACAGACTTGAATGTGGTACTTTCCGACAGGTTGAGTATTGAACATAGTATAGAAGGAAACACATTCAAAAACATTTCTTGGATTAACTTCACAGATTTCAGCAATCTTGTTAATAGCAGCCAATGGAATCCATCCACCATTTTGACGTTGAGCCAAGTGGAGCAAAGGTAAGATACCAGATTGTTTGTGTTTACTTGGATATTTAGCAAGAATTTTCTTGATTTCAGCATATGATTCTGGTGAGAAATCAAAAGGAGTGTTAACATTATTGTATTCAGTATCAACATGCTGTAATAATAATAACATTCAATTATAATTGTAGTAATCATTTAAAATTAATAACAACAAGAATAATTTCAATAATAATAAAATCCGTGATGAAAAAATTCATATGAAGATAACAACAAGAATAAAATCCACACATTTTCAATAAAACTTGATTCCATCATCACTACATACCTTGTATTGCAAGAATGAAGAGCGGGTTGTAGAGAAACATCTCTTATTGTTGAGGACGACTCTTCTGAGAAGGTTGTTGGTATTTCTAAGCATTTTTATCTTGTTGGTAAAATTTTTACAAGCCTTTGTTTGTTCTTGTCGTTGTCTAGTCAAATATACAAATGAAGGCTTGAACCAATGCTCCAAATACATCCAAATTTAATTGGAGTGCAATGAGCTGTTGCTGGTGATCCAAGATCATTTAATAATTAAATAATTGATTTTATGTATTGAAAATGTAAATTACCTGCTGTGTAAACAATTGGCCAAATAACAAACATGATTTTATTAGATTTAAAAATGTCTTCACCACAATTGGGCCAATCATCGGGTGTTGCTGTTGCTTCTCCCACAACATTGCAATCTCCCCGATTTCTACAACAGCAATCAATGATTACCTCTCCTAAACCTACTCTATTTGATTGGATCAAGGAACATTTATTGTTCATGAATAATTCAACTCCGTACAAGATTAATATTTCAAATATGGGTAAAAGTAATAGGAAACAACTTAATTTTGATAGATTTCAATTGGAAATACCTGTATTTTGTATAGGGGAGTGCAGTTTGTCAATTCATTTGTTTTATGATGGATCAAGACCTCATTCTCCTTTTGATTTTCAAATAATTTCGGATTTGTCATCATCTTATCTGCAGAATTTCATGATTGACTCATCAAAATTGCAGAGTATGATTGAATGGAGAGATTTGTATATTAGATATTTGCAACATCATGATGTTTCTAAAGAACTTTGTACATTTACATTTAGAACTATTAGTGAAATAATAGAATTTTTAACAGAATACTACAAGCTTGTAATTTCAAAACATAAGAATGATAATATTAGATTCGAATTTGATACTACTCAAAGTATTGGAGGAGCTAATTTTTATATTAAGGAATTATATTCAAATGATGGAACAGAATGCTCAACTGAGAAGATTTACTTTCTAGTTCCACTTTCAATTTCAGGCTTAGAAAAAATTGAGGAATATCAAAGATTATTCGATGTAAATACTATTCAATTACCTGATTCCAAACCAAAACTACTTGTCGTCTACTCCTATGATAAGTCAAGAGATGTAATTGTTAATGTAAATACAGAAATTATCTATCCAACCAGTGTAAAGAACAGTAAGAGATTACAATGGTTGACACAAATTCCAATTCCATCATGGAATCAAGGTAAATCATGTATAATTGAATATATGTTAGAAGCTGTGGAAAATATTGAATCTGAGGTTGAAAAGTACACTCAAAAACTCAAAGCTCGTCTAGAGTTTATCAAACAATTACTTGCTGCCTTTGGCAATCCTACAGACTTTTCTGAGAATGAATCTCTTACTAAGATTTCATTTCTAATGGAACGAGACAAGTTTCAATTCTTCCTTCACATTACACTTGAAAGAGAGGGTTTCCCAATTGTGCAACCAGTGATTAGAATGCAATCAACTCAATACTTTAAATCCTCGGATAGAGTTAAAGATAAATTATTGCCTGTTCGTGTTCGAGTACAACAATTGAACTGGACAGAAGGAGGGAGTGCTGAAGTGATGACAAAGAACGTTGAACAAATCCGTATTCAAGTTCTGGCCTTGTTGGGCGAATTTATCAAAGTTTGCCAATCGGAAGGAACAAGCCAATAAATAGTTTACTTTATTACTTTTCCAACAAGACAATAACCAATAATTAAAAATAAATAAGAATTGAATTTTATATTTTGAATTTTTAAATATATACCGGTAATTAGTTTATTTGATCTTCTTCTTGATTCTGAGATCAGTGGCGTGACCGCACTTATCCTTTCTGCATGAAGTGGCTCTGGCTGGGAGTCTAGCATAACACTTTCTGCAAATCTTCTTGTCACAGTTATACTTTCTGGCCAAGACTTGGAGAGTTGGTTCGATAACACCACCTCTGAGTCTCAAGACCAAGTGCAAAGTAGATTCCTTTTGGATATTGTAGTCTGAGAGAGTTCTACCATCTTCCAATTGCTTACCAGCGAAGATCAATCTTTGTTGATCTGGAGGGATACCTTCCTTGTCTTGGATCTTAGACTTGACGTTTTCAATAGTGTCGTTGGATTCGACTTCCAAAGTGATAGTCTTACCAGTGAGGGTCTTGACGAAAATTTGCATGGTGTAACTTTTGGCTTTTTTTTTCAACAAATTTTTAATAATAGTTGGATGACCGACTCAACAAACATTTTACAATAAAATATTTCTCTCTCATCCACAAGCTAAAAACCTGAACCAAATAAAATAGTAATATTTTGATTAATAATGAATATTTCATGAACGAAATTGAAGTCAATTTAATCTTTGAATGATAATTCAGAATGAACGTGTGTTTGTTTCTTGAAAGTCTATACAACGTCCCTTTAAATCATTCTCTAAATTTTAAAGAAGAAACTTGAGGACTCCTTCATTTCTGTAATTAAAAGAAAGAATTTCAATTTCCAAATTAAAAGAACACAACAGAATAAATTGATGATTCCATCATACAAATTGGTGTTCTATTAAATAATAGAATTAATATTCATTGAACATATTAATTTTAGGCTTTCCTTCCCGCCATACAGAATGCAAAATTCAAAAAAATTGCTCCACATTTTTGTTCGTCATCATCACGACCCGATTTTTGGAATAATTACTCATCAATTCACTGCACGAGTTTTATAAATCGGATTATTCCTGCTACAACATAGTTAATAGTAGAGTTGATTTATCGGAATGTTTGATTTTTTAAAAAGATTTCTTCCAACAAGCCTTGGTGGAAACGTCACGCAAGAACCTATCAACAAGAGAAAGAGAGAGGATATGGCTGCAGACCAACATGATGAATTTGCTAATAATAATAATAACAATACAAAGAAAACAAAGCCAAACATACCAGAAATGCCAATAACGACAACAACATCAGAAAACAACAAATTACCAAATACTACTCAACAAGTTAAGGATAGTAAAAAGGAAGAATCGAGTGAACTAGCAATATTCTTGAAAAAACAACAAGAAACGGAAAACCAAATAATACCTATACGATCCCATAAGAAGAAGAATGTGAAAAAAGCAAAATCTAAATTAATTTCCGAAAAACCAATACTAACAGATGAAGTAATTGTTTTGGATGATGACGAAGATGATTTGAAACATGCTTACAAAAAGTTAGATGGAAATCTTGTGAATGAAAAGTATATTCAAAACCACAGTGAGGCTATTCATACTAAGCTTAACACTCAACAAAAGGTCAATTCCGAAATCAAAGTTCCACATATGCCAGTGGGAGGAATGGTTACAGAAAAGAAGAATGAAAAGAAAGTAGAATCGGTACCTATTCGTGTACAACCAAAACCACCTATAATTATTTCTAGAAAGCTTTTCAACAATAAGGATAAGGGTCCAACACTCTTTAGAGGAGATCAAGTTGATAGATTAACATCAAAGTTGGATTCAATTTTATCATTGAAGGAAAAATCAGAGGAAACTAGAATCACTAGATCTTTCATTGAAAAGGAGGCCATAAATAGAGCATCATCTAAGATTATTTCAATACTTTGTAAAGAGCTTTTGGGAGAGGAAGCAAAAAAACTTCATGCTGATTCACTACCACAAGCAGTGTATAACAAATTAGTTTCTGAAATTATTACAGAGACTGTTGCTAAGGAAAAAGAGACTTTCCCACTATCAGAAAGAGACAGGAATTTTGTGGCACAAATTTTCCGAGATGCACACAAAAAACCTCAAGAAGTTCTTGTACTTAAATTCAATATTGACATTACTAGAGCTAAAATTCAATGTCTTAATGGACTTGAATGGCTAAATGATGAAGTAATCAACTTTTATCTCAACATGGTCAAAGAAAGAAGTGAAAAGAATCCAGACAAGTATCCTAAAATCCATGTTTTCAACACATTTTTCTATGCCAAGTTGACTGGTGAACATAATAACACTTATAATTATAGTGCTGTGAGAAGGTGGACCAAGAAAATTGATCTTTTAGAATATGATAAGATTATTATTCCTATCCACTTGTCAGTTCACTGGACTCTTGCAATAATTAATTTGAGAGATAGCAAATTTGAATTTTTTGATTCAATGAATGGTCATAGAACAGGTATGAAGGTATTACAAAATTTGGAAAAATACTTAGTTGACGAGATTAAAGACAAGAAGGGTGTTACATACGAAACGTCTTCTTGGGAGAAGAGTATGCCACCAGTTCCTCAACAAGCAAATGGATCAGATTGTGGAGTTTTCACTTGTAAATTTGCCAATTATGCTGCCCAAGATTTGCCATTTTCCTTTTCACAAAAACACATGCGTTATTTTAGAGATAGAATGGTTTTGGAGATTGTTAGAGCTAAAGAATTACTATAAATTATTTATTTTGAAAACAATTTGGCCTGTGAGAGTAGTTCTGTACTTAATTGAATGATATTGTTGCACTTTAATCCACAAGTTTCAAAATTGATAATGTCAGACGTATCTTGCTTTAAAGAGTTAGCTAAAAGAACCCATCCGCTCAATCTCTTATAAAACAAGTCTACAACAGATTCATCCAAGCGTAGTATTGGAGTTGGGGCTTCTTTTGCTTGCTCTCCATCTTTTGGCTTAATATTCGTAAGAATGGAGGCTGAGGATACTGTTTCCTCAGATGCTAATCTTCTTTTTGTGAGCTGTCTTTCTAATTTGAAATTTCGTTTCAAAAGCTCAAATAGATATCTGTCTGCTTTTAAGGTTTCATTGATATTGGAGGGTTTCTCATTTCTCATAGAATTGTCTTCCAAGAAAACTACTTTCTTTTTAGAGCTTGTTGGATAGTTCAAATAACAACCTGTTTTGATTATTTTTCTAGATAGGCTCATCACTACTTGAATGTTAAACGGTGTAAGGAGAATATTCAAACATTTCTCAAATTCACTTTCGAATAATGAGAGCAAATTTAAATTGTGTAATAAATTTTGCAAATCTAAATCCAATCTGAAAGGAGAGCAATAATCTTTACGAGTGGCATGCACAAAAGCACATGCCATATTATCAAACAAAACTCTTCCTTTTTCCATATCAAATATAATAGAATCATCCCTAACATTGCCCAATCCAATAAACCAACTAATAGCAGACCATTTAGCAAGGTCTCTAACAACCCTTTCACACATGTCGTACCAGGAATTTTTGTAAATGTGATATTTCGTTATTAAGACAGTGTTTTTCTTCTTGGTTTCCACATCATAGGACATGAGTGAATAGTGTTGGGATGCGTGCTGAGAAAAATATTGGAATAATACAGTTTCTGGCTTTTTGAGAGAAAAATTGAGTGATTTCAAAGACTGTAAATCCACAAATGAAGAGTTTGATTGTTTTCTAATTACTTTGAAATAATTTCCTCCCATCTTCATAATTGGTATCATTTCCAACTGTTCCATCCCAATAAAATTCCCAATTGCATTCGAGGTTAACATTTCCAAATTTGAGGCATCCATGGTTGGAATGGGAGAAAGTGTAATGGCGAGACTTTCTTTTGAGGTTTCCTGATCAAAATCTCTATCAATTTGAATTCGCATCTCCCACAAATTATTGTTATTTTCATATGAAAATTTGGAAATTTCGATCGAGTTAACAAATTGCATCCATTTAAAACCAGTATCCTTTGCTGTTGATTTTCCAATATATTTAAACAGTTCCAATAATGAATTAAAGAATTCTTCTTTGTTAACTGAGGATTCCAAATTATTATGTAGCACATTATTGATCACTGATAAGGAAGCTTGAATCATTTTAAATTTGTGGTCATCACAATATTCCATAAATTTTCTGAACATTTCCAAGTTGCAAAATCTAAGAAAGTCCAAAACAAAGTTAATATTTTCCAGAGATGAATACTTTTGAATCGATTTGTAAGAGTTCTTAAAGAGAAATAATGATACTAATCGGTTCAATTCTTCTCCATTGAATGTCTCAATAATGAAGGAGAAAATTTTAGCCCATCCCGTACAGAATGTAACACTTTCAAGCATGTCTTTGTCAATAAATCTGTATTCTATAAGATATGACAGTATATTGATGCAATGTTTTAGCTCTGTTACTGTCATTGAATTCTTACAATCTATTAATTTTGAAATATTCTCCAAAAAATCAAATATTAATAAATGTACACAATAGAAAACCGATGGCTTTTGTGTTTCTAAATCTGGTTGATAAGTAAATGATCCAAAATTGGAAGGGCATAGGTTAGTGCATGTTTGGGAGAGAATTTCTTCCATTGTGAAATTTCTATTTGAATACTTATTGTTGGAAACTACAGATGAGAATAGGATGATTACAGATTCTAGTGTTATAGTTCTTAAACAAAAGGAAATATTTTCAGGTAGTTCTATTTTAGAAGAGAGTAGCGCATAACCTATTCTCCAATCTAGCATTCCATTGTCTTGTGAAATCTTCCTAAGACCAAAGGTATCCTCATTTTTGATTGGATTATCTGTATTGGTAATGAATTCAACAAACTCTTTCCAATCTACCTTTTTTGATTTTCGTATTGTAGTCTTTGATTGAAGTAAGAGCTGCTTTCTGACAAAATCGAATACTTTTGTGGAATCTCTTTCAAGAGAAGCATAGCAATCAGATAACATTGAACAAAAAAGATTCAAAAACTCTCCACATGTTTTGAGTTCGATTTTGTTCAATCTGAATTTCAAAGATTCATCCTTAATTGACCATTCATGTAGAATGAAATTTAAATTAATGGATATATCTTCAATATTACTAGTTTGTTCACAAATGATTTGAATTCTTTCATGAATAACAGCATCACTCGAAGTATCATTAAATATATAGAAAATACATTTCCAAAATAGAGAATTTTTCTTTCCATGTATAAATTTAGAATCAAATTCTTCACTTATTACTATTTGTATAGGTTCCTCTGTTGTTTGTTTGTTTGTTTCTAGATTCATTTCTTCAACTGTTTCTACAAGTGGCTCTGTATTTCTATCAATAAAATCTTGGGCTAAGTCTAATAAACTATGGCGATTCAAATACCATTCAGAAGAATCCACAGTATGAATTGAAGAGTCAGATTGTGAAAGTTTCATAATATGAAGAAGGATAAGATGTGACTCAACAACAGGCTCCTTATATCTACTTGTAATTGATTCTACTGTTTTAACATAATCAATGATGGTATTTGTAGACAAATTCTCAATAGAACTAAAAATGTTTCTACTAGAATTATTGGATTCGGGGTTCATTCCCTGCAATATATCAAAGAAGGGAGTCTTTTGATCTCTCCTACTCAGTTCGTATTGAATCCATTGTAAACAGGTGGAAGAGATCTTATCTTTGAGTACCAACTCTATTACTTTGATTTTTTCTGTTGTTAAAAGCTTGTTCTCAGTAAGCATCTTCTTGATAATATTCTCATAGGTGGTGGTGTTAATTTGTCGAGCAAAGTTGGCCAAATCTGATACAGTGTTCATTTCTTTCGAGTTGAGGAATGAAACATCTCCTTTCTTTAGAGTTTCCACTAGTTGGTAGTTGATTTTTTGTTCAGAATTCATTGAGTCAGAGTACGACTTGAGGAATAACTCGAAATTCTTCTTTTTCTCATCCTCTCTTATAGATCTATCCAATAGATTCTTTGCAAACAAGTAGGGAATAACATCAGGATACTCATTGGAAATTTTCTGAATGAAACTATCATTGGAATTAGTTAAAGATATGTATGATCCCAATATTTCACAAATATTTTCCTTATACAACCCTTTCAAATAATTCAAATAGGGCCAAAGATTATTAAAACCCATCTTGAACTCCTCAATCAATGAGGAATATTCAATATTTGCATTGGATCTATTAAACTTGTTTAGAGTAACTCTTAATTTGAATAAATCAAACTCTGATAGCAGCTGTCTGGTCTCAATCGATTTGGCTTGCATTTTGATAATACTCAAATCTAGTTTCGATAAATATGATTCAAGATTATCGTTTAGGCCTATAAGAAAAGCAATTTTACATAGAGGATATAGCGTGTCAATTCTTGCAAATCTTGTAGAACCCATATTATTAGAAATTATCAGTGCTTGCTTTTTCATATTATTGGTGAGTAAATAAATTATTATCCATTGCCAACAAGAAGTTTGAAACTTGGGATCAATTTCTTTAAGTGCTTGTTGTGCCTTTTCATAGAATTGAGTTTGATAGTATTGACTAGAGGGTGATCGTAAACTGAACTTCAATTCAAATATGATTGTCTTTGGTTTTTTCATGTAATCAGCACTTATACTGTGAATTGGATTCAGTGTTGAGAAGTAGCTCTCATTTGAAATGTAAGATATGTTTGCCTTAAGAAAGTGAATTGAAGATTTGTAGTTTTCCAAATTGAATATTTGGGCATGTTCAATCATGTTTGTTTTAAGCCAGTCTGGAATATTCTCAACAATTTTCTCAAGCTTTTCAAGCTCAGTTCTTGATTTTTCTATATCAAAATGATTGACATAGTATTTGGTTCCTAGTTTTAGTTTTTTGAGTTGAAATTCAATTGTGATTGGATTGAAATCTCTGTATACACTCGAAAAATTAGAGTCATCCAAAATATAGAATGTCTTTAACCGTAGATAGACGTATTCGTAATTCTTTGGGCTAGATCTTTGTAGATTTGATAATATTTGAAGAGCTTGCCTTGAAGATATGGTACTCTTCTTTTTGTAAAGAATTTTGGCTTGCAATAACTGAAACTCTGGCGAAAGTTCACTAATATTTGAAACCTTAGGTATGTATTGTGATGCATTATTATAATCTTCAATGTTGTAATGATAAAGTGCTTTTTCAAAATCCACAGCAGATAAATTTCCACTTCCTTTATATCAAAAATTAATTAATTCGATAGATGAACTACACTTACTTGTTGCTTCGACCAAGCTTGTTTCAATATATTTCCTAAGTTTTGAATTTGTTTTCAATGCACATTTCCCCATTCTATTGTAAGCATAAACTTGCATATAGTACGAAGAGTCATCCCTTTTAGTGACCTCATCAAAAATCCACTTTGAATAGTCTAATAATTTCCAAGGACTTCCAGCACTTGCCAATGATATATAGTACCAGAAAAAAGTTGAGGAATCTTTACCTCCTGGCTTTTTGCCAATCATTACATGTCTGTCATAGAATAACTGCATCAAGATGAGTGATGTTTTGGCACATCCAAGTTTTGTTAAGTAGAACCACAATAGACGTAATGTTTGTGGATATTGAGAGCAAATGCTTTGGATTGTATAGTTATTGTAAATATCTTGAGTAAAGATAATTGGATCAATATTGAAAGAAGTTAACAAGTATGAAAGAGCTCCCTCTATATCACCATTATAGTACTTCAATAGAGAAACATTATTACAAGCAGATTTTTCAATTTCAACAGATCTAAAACCAAGTGGTAATTGATTAAATCCAAACTGAAGTTTGGTACTATTTAGAAATCGTTCAAAAATAGTCGAGTTTGCATTGAATTGATTGGAATCGTCCTGAGATAAAAGCGAATCCAATAAGTTTTTCTTATATTCCAAACTTGCTAAACAATCACTCCCTGAAAATAATTCCAAAGCTTTTGTAATTACATTTTGTGCCAACTCATAATTCCCTGTTTCCCAATAAATATCCACAATATTTTCAATTGATATTATTTGATATGGTGCTAATTCTAATCCCTTCATAAAAAATTCAATAGATTGCTTATATAAACATCTATCTTTAAAAATAATTCCAAATAAATGATAAATTGATGGATTATTTGGATCTCTCTGTTTCATTTCATCCAAAATATGTATTGCCTCTGAATCCCAGCCCATATTATGTTTGATTAGTGCCAATGTTAATAAATAGGCAGTGTTATTTGGTTCACACTTTTTTGCTTTATAGCAACATTGAATGGCCTCTTCGTATTCCTCATGAATCATGTAAATTTCAGATAATGCTATCCAAGCATCAAAACTCGAATCTGTTTGTTTAATTATATTCAAGAAATATCCCTCAGCCCTATCTATATCATTTAATATCCTCAAATATCTTATTCCATTGTTTTTTATATTGAATTTCTCAATAAAAATACTTACAAATATCCTAAATTCAATAGTGGATTAATTATTAAATGTTCATTTCTAATTTGTTGACTTTTTTGAAGGGAATATGTAAATGATTCGATGGATTTTTCAATTTCACCTCTATGTAATTGTAAGACTCCAATATTATTAGTTACAAGAATATCCTCTTTTAGTAGTTCCTTTTTTCTCCCTATTAATTCTTTTGATTTTGCAAAACTGTCAAACGAAGATTGTAAATCTCCAATTTTATAATATAAATATCCTAATGTATTATATCCAACAATACTATTTTCGTTTGTTATTGATTTAGACACTTTAATATTTAAACAACAATATCCGATAATTATTTACCTCGATCTATTAAATTATTTATTTCGGAAGTGTTATCCGAGAGGTGTGGAATCATTTTTTTTGGTCGTATTTACAATTGTTTGTCTTACTTATTAATATCCTGAAAGCTTTGAAGAGGACATCTTCTTTCCAGTTTTGCGTGGATCACCATTACGTTCAATTTCAGCACATTCATGAGTGATTGGATTATACTGAACAAATCTCTTATTAGGACTAGGTGTTGAAAGACCATTCTGTGAATAAAAAGATTGAGCAGTTGTTGTGTAAAAGTTTTGAGGATTTGAAGAGTAGAAGCTCTGAGATGATGGACTTCTGAATGGCTGTGGTTGATTGTTATATGATGAAGGACTCCTGTACATTTGAGGAGGAGGAGAGGTATATTGTGGAGATGCATACACATTTTGAGATGAAGGACTTCTGTACTGAACAGGTGATTGATTATTCGTAGTTCTATATTGCACTGCTTGATTATTTTGTGGACTCTTATTAGCGCTTTGGATTGGGTATTGGCTATAGTTTGTTTGAGGTGGATGTTGACTATAGTTGTTTTGTGGGCTCGAATAATTTTGAGGACTGGAATAATTATTTTGTGGACTATATCCAGTTTGAGGGGAATAATCATTCTGAGTGTAACTTGGTGGTGATGGTTCTGGTTGATTTAGTGTTCTACTATCAATAGTACTCATCATAATTGGAGTGATTGCAGTTAGGTCACTATCATTTCTCTTTAGTGGAGGTCTTTGAGATGGAACCTCATTAGAGGATGAAATAGTAGGATTTGGAACCAATAAGGGAGCCCCACTAACAAAATACTGCTTAAATACAACAAAATTATTGCTTTGAGGAATATAGTCAGAGAGTCCGTAGTGTCTTCTAAGGAAACCAATAAGCTTTGGAGATGGTCTGTCGTAGGCAAATCTTTCAGGAGATGTTTTCTCAAAAGCTAGCATTGCTTCAAAGAGTATTTTACCAATACCTTTCCTTTGCACTGCTTCACTAACGTAAAAATCCAAAACACAAAGTGGTTCAATTTCCTTGAAATCTCCAGTCATACTCTGATAATAATTACTAAATAGTGTAGCGACGCAATACTTACTCTATAGAATAGCTTTTTTCTTCCTACTTTTAAAATTCCAAATGCCTTATTATCTACACTATAAAGATAGAGATTATTATCATTAAATTGAATTTTTGATGATGTTGTTATTGCTGTAGGAAGAACTTGGGCCTAAAAATCATCACATAATAATAAATATCAATTAGTGTTGCCAATAAAACTAACCTTTGCCGATGCATCACCCATTCTATCAATAACAGAGCAAATTACATTGTAATATTCCGCCTTTTTAGATTTAAGCAATGTAAGGGTTGTTTTGTTCCACAATGAAATACAAGGATCATCTATATTGTTGTTGGGATTCAAAGTAAACGCCTTTGAGATACGTTGGATGTTGTGATGACCAAAATCCATCTTGATGCTTGTTTTTAATACAATATGAAGTTGCGCCTTTTTTTAGACGAGAAAGTACAATTTTCTGTTGGCGCGCTTTCAAGTACATTTACACCAATTAGGTTGTTGAGGGTGGACAAAGTTGCCATTAATGGATGCCTTATGTGTTCATATCACCACAAACTGAAGTGGAATTTAATTTTAAAATCACCTCAACACCTGAAACAATACTAGGTATTTTTTACTTCCTTATTAAGCAAAATAACATGCAGCAACCACAATGTTATTGTTTAAAAAACAGACTCTCTGGTGGTTAGATCCTAAATGGAATTATTGGCCATATGTGAAAATAATTCAAATTGGAATTATAAATTCAACAGCAATATTTGAAACTTTAAGTTTCTTGCTCATATTGCAACCTGAAGTTTCCATTTGTTTCCACCTTCTTTGGCTTTATCAATATCTCCAAATGAATTAAAGCAATCAATATATTTGTTTTCATCACAAACGAAATACATTCTTAAATATAATTCAAAATTATTTTTGTGGCCTACTGGTAGTATTTTCCTGATTGTTATTGTTTGAATTATCATCATTTGATACCTCTTCATCCTCCCATTGATTTAATAAATTTTGGGCGATGAGAGACACTGCTTCGGGATGCAAATATCTTGGATAATAAAAAAACATTTGATATGGCTCGTTTCTCTCCTTCTCCTTTCTAATGTTTTCTTCAATTTTTAAAGCTTTTTCGGATGATGACTCTTCCTCATTTGTAATATCATTATTATTGGTTTTATTCGATGTGGACGAATTGTTCTCCTCTGGTTCAAGCGAATAATCAGAGATATTGCTCCTAAAGTTGAGTTTGTTCATTTTTTCTCTCTTTGCCGGAGTCCTTTTCAATTACAAACGTTTGATAGACTTGTTGTGATACTGCTGTCATTCAAAGTATTCAATCAAGGTTCAAAGCCTGAAGGAGTGAGTAATTCAATAGCCAAATCAAAAACATCCTCCTTAATCCCATAATGAGAACTCTTTTTGCTGACCGCACAATTTTATCTGCCTTTACCAGATCTATATTAATAAAAGCTAACCAATTTAGATTCTTCTCCATCCTTGCTCAATTCAGGTCCAAAAAAACATAACCATCTCTCATATCGAGAATAGAAAAAAATGCAAGTCCCATCATCTTCGACTGCTGGTAATGGAGGTGGAAATAATCATCAACAACAACCACTCAATAATGGTGTTAGTGAAACAACAATAGCAAACGCTAAACAACCTTATGTTCATCATTTTAGGATTGCAAAGAAGAAAACAACACTAGAATTCAAGATGGTTGATGCAAAGGATATCAGAAAGAATATGTATGGAGCACAAAACAGATTAAATCATCAACAACAAGAATTACTACTGAATTCTTTTACTGCTTCATCAGATATGAATGTATCACCTAATGATCAAATATCAACATCACAACAACAACATTTGACATTACCAGATAATTCTTCATCACCCCAAAACGCAACAACATCACAACAACAACATTTTAATCACGACAAATCAAGAAAACCAAGAGCCCCGAGTCTATTTTCAACAAATAGTAAAATTACAAAGAAGCAACAAGCTAATAGAAGAAACTCTACTATTATGATATCAGATCCAACTGGTTTTCTCCAACAAGTTTCTCCTACGAATAATAACTATCATCAAGATACAAACAGCTTTTCACAATCATCTAGTGTTTTTGTTTCATCTAATAAGAATGTACATCCGGTAAATAACAACAGAAGAAAATCGACAACATCCCTATCAACAAATGAAACTTCTGCAATTTTCCCACCAACCACTACTAATACAACCACTACTAATCATCCGCAACATTCTCACTCACCTATTTATAATAATACCATCAACTCTCCTCCTTCAACACCTTCCCAACAACAAACGGCACCAACTTCATATTTTACTACAGGTTTTTCATTCGGCAATTCCCAAAAAGATGAATACACACCACCTATGGCTAATACTTTAACAAGTGGATTTTCTAACTTTAAAAATTCTAATGAAACAAACAGTTTTCAAGACAATTTATATGGAGATGCTTATGTAAGCACTTTAACACCTGAGCAGAGACGTTATTTAATGCAAGGAGCAAGAAGAACTTTTGCAACTCTTCCAAGTATTGAGGAAATGACTAGGTATGATGAAATGAGAAGAAATTCTATTGAGGAACTTACTCAAAACTTCTCACAAGTTTCAACATCGGAATCACCAAATAATAATAATAATAATAGCAATAACAATAATCAAAGAAGGCCAAGTACCGATTCTCAAAATATGTTGGTTATTTCTGAAAATTTCAGAAATGATCAAAGATTCAGAAGGAGACAAACTTATGCATTTGATACAGAACATTTCTCTAGTTATGATAACAGTTGCTTAGAATCATTTAACTTCCCTTGCAAACCTCCAACAAATTTTCAACCCCCTAATTCCACACCAAATAATCATCCTCAATCGAATGGCTCAGGCTCATCCTATCCCAATAATAATTCTTCTGCAGATAATAACCACCCTTACTACCTTCCTCCATTATCCAAATTAATACACGAATAATATTTCTTTTTGAAAATACTAAAATAATGTCAATTTGTTTGAATTGAAAAAAATGAACACTTTGTGGAGACGATTGTCTATCCTGAATAAATCCTCTAAAATACTAAAATCATCTTCATCATCAGCAACTTTAGTAAAATTAAATTCGGGAAGGAATAATTTTAGTACATCATCCAACAAAATTCTCTCAACACAACAAAATAATGATAATAATTATACAGTTTTAAGTGTGGATACATCGGGACTTGTTCAAGAGACTTACGATAGTACAATAGTCAAAGAACATGAAACTCCAATGGTAAAACATTTAAAAAACAAAATTAAAGGAGCAGGACCAATTTCCGTATCAACATTTATTCAAGAAACATTATTGAATCCAATTTATGGTTATTATTACACTGCAAAGAAAACATCATTGGACAATTCAAAACAAAATGTGATCGGAAGAGAGGGTGATTTCGTTACTTCACCAGAAATTTCTTCAGTATTCAGTGAAATGATTGGATTGTGGTGTGTAGATATGTGGACAAAATTAGGAAAGCCAAAGCAAATAGAACTTGTTGAATTAGGTCCTGGTAAAGGTACTTTAATGCACGATTTATTGGATAGTTTAGTTCAATCTAAAAATTCACCAACTATTGATGCTTTCAGACAATCTGTAAAGAAAGTTACAATGTGTGAAGCTTCAGAGGCTTTAAAGGAGGTACAAAAGGACAAACTCAAGTCATTTACAGAAACACACGAATTTAATTGGATTGACAGATTTGACAAGTATTCTGACTTTGATAGTAATATGCCTGTACTAATTATTGCTCATGAATTCTTTGATGCCTTACCTGTATATCATTTTGAGGTGAGTTTTAATTGAGAAGTTGAAAATTTAATTTTGGAATAGTACACTGAAAGAGGTTGGATGGAAGTATTGGTTGATATTGATGATGCAAAGGATTCACCACATCATTTCAAGTTTGTATTATCACCAGGACCAACAATGGCAACAGCATTTGTTAACTTGGTTGAAGGAAAGAAGGATGTTGGTTCTATCAGAGAAGTTTGTGCAATGGGTATTGGATATGTTGAAAAAATTGGTGAAATTTTGAACAATAGAAAAGGTGGTTCATTAATTATTGACTACGGAAATGATTATCCTATGGGATTCACCCTTCAGGGTATTTATCAACACAGGTTTACTGAAACTCCTTTGGAAAAGCCAGGTGAAGTTGACTTGTCTACTTTTGTTGATTTTTCAAGTTTGAGGAAGGCAGTTGAAAAATTCAAAAATGTTAAGGTTTATGGACCTCAATACCAAGCAGACTTTTTACATCAAATGGGAATGGATGCAAGATTTGCCAAATTACTTCAAAATCCAAAACTTTCTCCTGAACAAGTTACATCAATGATAACAGCTTATGAAAGATTAACACACCCAACTGAAATGGGTCATCACTACAAGGCCATGGCTCTTGCCCATTTACCATCCAACAAGCTCACAGCCACAGGTTTCGATATTAATCTCATTCCAAAGAGGGAAGCAACCCCAAACATGAAATCCCAAAGAGTTGCCCCAACACCAACCATTATTCATGGTAATAAGGAGGGTGAAACATCTAGAATCAAACCATCTGATAAGAAAACTGTTCCAGCTGATGTTGGTATGTTCATATAAATCAATGACTTTACAAAATTCATCCAAATATGTTAATTTCTGTATGCCATTCAATTTTGGTCATAATATTGTGCTCTGCAGTTTCTCAATGATCTCACAACTAAGCAAACAACAAACATATCATGTGAACATCTAGCTGTTGCATTCCGAAGCATATCTATCCGTTTTAATGTCCTAATATTGTTGATCTTGATTTCTTTCATGCTTTGTTCATCTCTATGGAAATTTTCCTTCCCTAACCAAAACAAAAGAAAATGTCCTCAGCAGCCAAATCAACAACAACCTCACCAAGCACTGCCACTCTTCCACAAAAGAAGGAAAGAACTGGAGCTGGTCCACAATCAATGTGGTATAAATCCTTTATAGTATTTATCTGGTATTTCGGATCATCAGTTGGATTTGTTGGATTGTTTGCATTGTTAGCCTATTATTATGAACATTATTACTCGAAGGGAATTGTCAATCCATTCGAATAAACACCATCCATCATCATTAAATAATTTTCCCTTTATCACCTAATTCCTTCTCTTCTGTAATAGTATGGATCATCTTTAACGGTGATCAACAAATTCAAATTAAATAATTAATTTTGTAATTAATAAAGTCTTGATACTACATTCCGTTTTGATATTGAAAAAATTAGCAGTAAACACAATTACTACTACTCTCATCATTACAGAAATCATCAATTAGATATTTTGTGAATTTGAAATAATTTTCGTATCGATTTGAAATTGCACAAAATCCTTCAAATTCAAACTGGATACACTGGTGTGAAAACAGAAACAAAAAAACAAACAAAATGGAAATCACAAAGATTAATGATTATATTTTCAAAATTTCTAATCAAAAGAGACAAACAAATGAGACTGATGTTTCTTTCGAGTGGTTCATCTTGAGAATGGATTATTCGAGTGCAGAGACAGATGGCTTGATTTATTTTGACTTTCTCGTGAGAAATCAAACATTCCTCAAAGTACACCTTCCTCACTATCCGAATGAGGCCTATGAAAACTTGAGCTGGAGTGTGAATAGAATGAAAAGATTATCCTCAGCTCACAATTACTTTGTTCTTGTCAAGAGTGAACAAACACCTTCCTATATTGAAAAGGTAAATCAATCAGAACCTGTGTTTGAATTCTTGAAGGATAAACTCACTATTGGAGTTTGTGGAGGGTTTACTGGTGGTAAGACAGAGTTTGATTTAATGGAGGTGGGTTATGCTCTCGATGAAAAGTTTCAATCTCATGGTATTGTTTCCAATACTTTAAAATTCATTATTGAGAAGGCCTTTAAAGAAGTTTCCTCCCTAAATCTCATCAAGCTCGTATGTAATGACTATAATGTGAAGAGTGCAGCTGTTGGAAAGAGACTGGGTTTTACATTCAATGAGGAAGAATCTGAAAAGGCAAGTAAGGAAGATAATGTAGCTCTCCATTGTTTCACAATGACCAGAGAAGAAGCAACCAAACTCTTCCAATTGTGAAAGCAATATTTTCTAATGAAAGCATTAAACAAGGCCATTATTAAATTTTCCTAAATTTCCCGCCTTGGAGAATCGTTACATAATTTTTTAAAAAAAATGCAAAGATTTCTCGCTCGAATGATTGGTGCTCATGATGAAACTCCAGAACATCACACACCAATGTCCAGTGCCTCTGAGATGAGTGACCACTTCTCACCAGATTTTAACTCCTTCCTCGATACCGTTCCTTCCATAAATTCCAAACATTCTGATTCATCAACTGCTGCCTATCCCATCACATCGAAACAGAACCAATTGGTTGTGAATATAGGATCTGTTCCATCATCGAATATACAATCATCGACCACTGCAGCTGTTGCTCCAATCAGCATTGGTACCAAACTCTTTGACTCGAATGTGAATGTTATGCAACCATCCGATTTGGAATGTCCATCAAACTTGAGAACAGGAGCTTTTACCTTTGATCCATCTTCATCAATTGTTAGACCTGCTGCTGGAGTGGCCACTGTTCAAACTGATGATCTTTCCAAGCTATTGGCTCAACATTCTAATAGTCTAGTACACAATCAAACAACTTTGGAAACAGCCATAACACCAAAGAGAAATTCACACAATTTGGATTCTTTATTATTGGATAGTGAAGATTCAATATCTCAATTTAGTGTGCAAAGTAGTTGTAATAGTGAAATGACAAGATCTACCAAAAGTAAAATGTCAACTAAGAGTATTCCAAAAACTCCACTTGGCACTTCATCAACACGTAAAAGAGAATATTTGGCACTCACTAATAACTTTAATTCATTCTATAATGGCATGATTGAGAATCAAAATACTATTCTAAATGCACTTTCTGAAAAGAATCAAGAAATCATCTCTGAAATTGCTCAATCGAGTCAATCCATTAATGATATGGGATTTAAGATTAATGATTTTGTTGCTCAACAAGTTGGTTGTTTGAAATTGGATTTGGAAAGGGAAATTTCTCAATTACAATCCATGAATAATCAAGTATTACAACAATTAATTACCAATCAAACTCAACTCATTTCACAAATTCAATCCCTTAATCAAACTGCACAAACTAACCAAGAAGAAAACAAAAACTTGAAACTCATGCTCTCTGGATCCATCACTATTGCCATTATTGGATTTTTGGCACAATTTATTGTGAATAAATCTTCAAAGAGTTTGTAATTCTTTGAAGCACTTGCACATTGTAATTCAATTTGCTTTGAGAAATAATTTTTATTTAAAATTTACAAAAAAATGTTTAAACAAGTGCTTGGTTTCGGAAAGAGGAAAGGTTAATAATAATTCATTGGGAAAAATTGTAGGCTTGAGATGTTTTAGTACAAGAAATAATTTACTATCATCAAATCAAAAGAGAATTTTGTTTTTTGGATCGGATTCATTCTCACTGGAAACACTCAAGTTATTACATTCGGAATTTGTAAAAACCAATGAAGCTGATTTGTGTGTTCTTTGTCCACCTGATAGAAAGACAATTAGAAGAAATCAAGCCGAATATAAGGAATGTATTGTCAAGAATTATTGCATGGAAAATAATATTGATTATTTCCATCCGATTGAAACTGAAAAATCACCAGAGGAGAGAAAGAAAATTCAACGATTGGATATTACAGACATTCCGAGAGAGGAACGATTATTTGGAGGAAATCAAGACAATTTTACTCCAAGCTTTGATGTTGGAGTGGTTGTGAGTTTCTCTTACTTCCTTCAGAAGGGATTATTGGATCAATTTAAAACAAGGGATGGTCAACATTCTACCATATTTAATATTCACCCTAGTTTATTGCCACGTTATAGAGGACCTGCTCCTATTCATCACGCCTTACTGAATGGAGATTCAGAGACTGGTGTCACAATTATGGAATTGGATGATAAGGAATTTGATATTGGTAATATTGTAAAGCAACAAAAATTCAACATTGAAAAAACAGAAACATTTACTCAACTTCATGATAGGTTGGCAGTACGTGGGGCTGAAATGATGATTGATACAATTCGTGCATGTAATTTTGATTTTACAAAAGTACAAAGAATCAATCAGGAAAATCTCACTAAAACCATTGCTGCCACTAGAGCTAAGAAGGTCAACTTTGCTATAGGTGAAATTTCTCTTAAGGATGAAAACGTATTTACCATTTACAATAAGTGGAGGGCTTTGGAGAAAATACACGTCCCATTCCAAAACACAAAGATTTTACTGAAACAATTAGATTATCCAGTAATTGATTCTTCAGAGGATAATACTCCAATAGGAACATTATATATTGATAGCGACAAATCTCTTTCACTCAAATGTGTTGGTGGTAAATTGAAAATCAAAGCTTTACAAATGGAAAATAAGAAGGAAATGTCAGCAAATGATTTCATAAACGGAAATAGAGGAAAACTACCAATGAAATTATTGGCTTAATTTATAAAATACAGATGTATGTTACATGATAGAGTTTTTGATAAGATCGCACCTAGCAGACTCAAATTTCATAGTCATTTCAATAAGTTGCTCCTCCCTTTTGAAGAGCTTTGTTTCTAAATCTTGTTTGGCAAGCAACAGTTGTTCATACTTATCTTCCAACTCAACATCTCCTACGTGTTTGTTGTTTTCCTGATACAGGTCAAGAAATATCCTAAAGGAATCATTTTTCTCCTTTTCAAAGTGACTGCTAAGAATTGAATTTTTTGCTTGATCGAGTAATTGATCTTTTGTCACTCGCTGGTGTTCTAATTGACTCAGTAAGCATTCAACATTATCCTCGGTTTCCTTATTAATCATTTTCAATTTTTCAAACTTTTCTTCTGATGCTTTCAATTTTGCTCTCAACAATTCCAACTCCTTTTTTAGTACTTGAGTTTCACTACTATTCGGTGATCGAGAGGTTTCTCTTCTAGGTCTCATATCCACACTGTGCGATATTAAACTTTCCATCTTTTCTTGTTGCTCCCTTATGTCTGATTCTCTCTTCTTGATTATTGTTTTCAACTTTTTCAACTCTTCCTGTGCCGAGAATAAGGACGTGGAGAGAAAAAAGTTTTCCTCCTTCTGACAATTTAATAGTAATTTCATATTATCCATTTCTCTCCTTAATTTTGAATTATCATCTCGGAGAGTTATAATTTCCTCACTAATTGATCTTCTCCTTGTTTCAGGTTCCAAAGTATAACCTTCAGATTGTCCCTTCTTAGAAGCCCATTTGTTATTATTCCTAATAGGTGAATTTGATGATCTACTACCACTGCTATTAGATGAGGAACGAATGGGAGATGTTTTATAATTCCTGATGGGGCTATTAACTTCTCTTGTTATTGAATTGGGCACGATCTTACCTCGTGGTGTGCTACTAGGATTTGATGAGTGGGATTGATTGAGAGAGGAATTATTGCCCCGAGCAGATAATGGAGCTCTAGCTATTGCTGATGATGAAGATGATGAGAAGGAAGAGCTCTCAATGGTTATTCCAATCATTTTTTAGTTATTTTAAAAAACTAGTCGTTAAGGCGCCCTTTTTTGAAATTAATGTGGCGCTCGTGATCCTTAATGATTCTTAGTTTTTAGAAAATTTTGAAAACTTAGAAAAGTCAGGATATGAAATTTGCATTTTCTTAATTTCGAAATAAATTTCATCAAATTAATTATTAAATAAAAATGTCATCATCAACCACAGCAACAACTCGGTTTAAATCTAATGAACGTTATAAAGATTCTAAACAATTGGCTGAATGGTTAAAATCTTCAACTAAATGTCCTCCTTCTCTTGTGGAAAGTACGTAAACGTTTTATGAAAGTAATCAACAACATCATCATCATAAACTCTAAAAGAATTGGAAGAGTACGGATTGGATGAATGGACATTAATGAGTATAAATGATGAAAATCTATTGATGGAAGAGTTGGGAATTAATAAATTACAAGCTAAAGCCCTGATGAAGGTAATAGCTGACAGTGGAAATGGTAATAGCAATACTGAACAGAAAAATTCATCACAACAACTTGAACAAAACACGAGTCAACAAGCAACAAGTAATGTTGACAACATTGGTGAAGAATTGTTGAGGAATAATACGAATGAGAATGGAAATCAGACAAGTGATACTCATCAGCCCAGTAGTTCTACCTCTACAAATATAGCATCTGCACCCAATTCTTCAGAGGGTTTATTTATTGAAATGGGTAAGTCTGATTTGCTCATAATGTGAAATAGGTTGACCAACATATTAAATAGGAGGATTGGATGATGGTCTAACCAACGAGCCATATACTCCAATTGAGGAAGAGGAAAATGCAGCTAATGACGGAGACAATGAAGCTCAAACAAAACTAGGAGATCGATATTACTCTGGGGATGGTGTCGAAAAATCGTTTGAAAAGGCATTGGAATGGTATAGGAAAGCAGCAGCTCAAGGAAATACTACTGCTCAATTTCATATTGGAAAAATGTATGAGAAGGGAGAAGGAGTTCCCATATCACCAGAAAAAGCATTCGTTTGGTATAAAACAGCAGCACAATTAGGGGATGCAGCAGCTCAGCATCAAACAGGGAAAATGTATTTTTGGGGATTTGGAGTTGAAAAATCAAATGACTTGGCATTTGAGTGGATATCTAAATCAGCCAATCAAGAATATTCACACGCAGAATATGATTTGGGAAATTTATATTATGAAGGAAATGGAGTTGAACAATCACTTACAGATGCTTTTAAATGGTATGAAAAGGCAGCTAATCAAGGTGATGCATATGTACAAAATCTTATAGGGGCCATGTATCAGGAAGGTGAAGGAGTAGCTCAGTCATACTCAAAAGCATTTGAATGGTATGAGAAAGCAGCCAATCAAGGAGAGGTCAATGCTCAATTTCATTTAGCCCTACTGTACCAAGAAGAAGGAGTTCACCAGTCATACGAGAAGTCCTATAACTTACTGGAGAAATTAGCTAGTTCCAATGATAAGGATGCTCAAATTGCCTTAGGTGATATGCTTTGTGAGGAGGAAAGTGTTAGAGAAATGGCCATTTCATGGTATGAAAAGGCAGCCAATTTAGGGAATGATGATGCTAAAATCAAACTAGAAGAATTGAAAAAGAAGAGAAAGAGGTTGGCTATAAGAAAACCAAGGAGAGGCAGAAAAAGAAAATAGGTTCACCTTATAGAAGTCTTGATTTAAGCGAACAAACATTGTTTTAATTGCACATATTAGCTATTTGCTATTCAGCTAAAAAGATTATTGTTTGCAGACTTTTTATTTTAATAAACATCTCAAACAACTAAGAGAACATAGATGCAGAAACTTAGATGATTATGACATGTTAATATTTGTAATTATAGTAATTTAGAATGACGTTTAAGTTAGTTTGTTCTTTCAAATTCGAATCTCCCAGTAATAATAAGCCTTAATAAATCACCAATACAATGTGAAAGAACTTATTAGTAAAAATCTTTTTCAAAGTTTGGTAAATTTTAAGATCACACTCCGAAAATTTAAATAATATTTAAAAAAAATGAGTGGAGAAGTAGCAAAAGCACTTAATCTTGTCAAACAAAATCTTGTTCAAACATTAAAGGTAGATATTTTGATAATTACATCCGATGGAAATATTTAATTTTGGATCATTTAGAAATTAAATAGAGGAGAAAATACATGCCGATTGGTTGCTGTCAGCAAGACAAAACCTGTGGAATTAATTCAAGAATGTTTGGATGCTGGACAATTACATTTTGGAGAAAATTATATTCAAGAAATATGTGAAAAAGCACCAGTAATGTCAAAGGATATTAAATGGCACTTTATTGGACATCTTCAATCAAACAAAATTAAACAACTTGTAGAGAAAGTTGAAAGTTTATACATGGTAGAAACAGTTGACAGAGTTAAAATTGCTCAAACTTTGGAAAAAGCTTGGGCTGCTACTCAACGTGAAAATAAGCTTAACGTTCTTGTTCAAATTAATACTTCAAATGAGGAAAGCAAATCTGGAATTACAACAGTTGAGGAATGTGAAGAAGTTGTCAAATATATTCAAGGTAGGTGTTATTTGTTTTATTACCAACCATGAAATACCAAACTGTTTCTGCCAAAAGAACAATGTCCACATCTTAGTTTTAGAGGTCTGATGACAATTGGAAGCTTCGAACACAGCCAAGATCCAGAAAGAAATCCTGACTTTGAAAAATTAGTTTGGTTCAGAGACGAATTATTGAAAAAGATGGAATCTTTGACAAACATTGAAAACTTTGAATTGAGTATGGGAATGTCACATGACTATGAAATTGCCATCAAGTATGGAAGTACCAATGTTCGTGTGGGAAGCACAATTTTCGGTGCCAGAAATTATGCAAACCAATAAATTATTTAAAGTATGAATATTTCACTTTCTGTTGTTCTGGTTGTGAATCATAGAATGGAAGAGATCTCTTCTTTGTTGAAGCTACATCCTCATCTTGATAATCTTCATACTCAACCACTACATCTTGATTTTGTTGTTGCTGTTGATACATGTATTGTTGTTGGGCATATTGTTGTTGAGCTTGAAGTTGAGCCTGTTGTTGAGCTGCATACATTTCTTCATCAGATTTAAGAGCAGAGTCTTTCAACATTCTACAAAATGATCTTAATCTTCTATACTTGTTAGTAATATATTCTATTAATAATTTCCAATCTTCATCCTTCTTTTCAAGAACAAAATATGATTTAGTTGATAAAATCAATTGAACAAATTTCTTATATCCATTAACTCCAGCGCTACTTTTGAGGGTAATTTGGAAAAGACCCTTCAGACTTGCGTGAATTTGTCTCATATAGGCGTGGAGATGAGGATCTAATTGTGCAATATATTCCATTAATATCTTTCTTTGTTCTTGAAGTGCAGGATCTTCAGTTTCAATTTCATCCATCTGTCTCAATACAGTTGTAGTTGTATAAGAATAATAGTAAGAAGTTTCTTCCATTGGTGTAACTGGAGGTATCCATGATACATATCTCAAGAAAATCATTACAGCTTGTCTGTCTTGGATATTTTCGTTTCTCAAAATATAGGCATAAATCTTACCCAAAAGAATATTTGCTTGTATGACTGTTTCCTTTTGGTTTTGGTGTGAAATGGCTGCATAAGACAATAAATGCAGCACGAGTTGCAGATATTCACTATCAAAATGAATATATTGATCTGTTTCTGCAAGAATGTCTTCAGTAAAGTGCCCAGATTCAGTAGGATCAGATGTTATGAAATTCAAATGATCTATTCCTGTCACTCCAACAAGTTTGACGGCATAAGCAATAACTCCACCAATGTTGGCTGGAGTAACAACATCCAAAAGTGATCTAATTATTTCTACAGTTCTGTTCATGTTTGGATGTTTTTCCACTTCTTCCATTTGTTCCATGAATAATGAAAGAAGATTCACTAATTTTTTGGCTTCTGCATCCTTTCCTTCCTTGTCCTTGATTCTTGCCAAATGTTCAAAACATTTTCTCAAAAAGGCTTCTTCCTTTGGATTTTCTCCAAAAGCAGAAATGTCAGCACCCTCGTTTTTAATTCTGAGCTTCTTTTCTTCAAAGAGCTCCTCAAGTAATATTTCAACGAGTGGTCCTTCCTCTTTGGCATCTGTACAAAATTGTTTGACTTCATCAACTAAATCACTATTTCTCAAGGAAAGGAGAACAACATTTTTAAGTACAAATATTAATCCAAAGCCAAGCTCTGAATTTTCTACCAGCAAATTGTAAACTTTCTCGTTCATATCCAGCACAAACTCTTCTTCTATCGATTCTACTTTCTTATTTACAAGGTTAGTCACATATGATGGTACTCGAAGATAATTCACTAAATTGGATTTTTTCCATACTACTTCCAACTCCTTTTCAAATTCAACAATTTTTTCATTAACTGTTGGTTGAGCATCTTCATCTCCATTGTCATCACCAACTGAAAAAGTGGAAGGTGCTGGCGTTACTATAGTGTTTGCATTATTTTTGAAATTTGTTTCTATTACACATTCCGTAATTTGAAGGAGGATTTTGGCCTTGAAATCTAAAAACTCCTTTTTAGTTTTCTTTTTGCTTTTCTTTTTAGCTTTAGGTTCTGTTTGTTGTAATAGATAACCTAAAATTTGTTTTATCAGTGTGGAATCCAGCTTTCCGTCCTTCATAATTTTAGGTTTAATAGAGGCATCATCCAAAAACTTCATAGTTTTAGATTTAATGGTTTGTGATGAGAGTTCATCAAAAACCCTCTTATTATCTCGCAAAGCAATTTCTTGTACACCAGACCAAAAAACTTTGCCTGTATATGTTTTCCTTGTTAAAACACTTTCCTTTTCGAACACTGTTACTGTTGGAACTATATTTTCTATTGATGATGGTTGTGTTGTGTTTGGTGGTAAGTTGTGTTGTTCCTCTGGTTTTTGTTCAAACAAGAAGATGTCATCATTGTGGTCGTTTACCTTTTCCAGCAAAAACAGGCCACTGGTATCATGTGATGAATTATTCACTAAATTTGAAGTATTATTACTAGCAAAAACATCCAAACTTTCACCCGATAACATAACCTCTTCTTTATCACTCTTTCCAAATAACAAGGAACCATTACTAGCTGCTATAGAAGAGGTATTCAACAACTCTGTTGGAGGTTGATGCTCCTCTATCTTTATCAAAGAAGGATCAACACTCGGTGATGAAGTAAAATCATTCTCCAAACTAGTTGTATGTTGTTGTTGGTGTTCAGTATCGCTCATTTTTTTTCCATATTTTTAAAGCAAGCGGTTGAATCGTCGATCTTATTGCGCTTGAATTGTTGTGCTCCACCAACTCCTCGTAAATCATCAGCACAAGGACTTTTGCTAATATTTGATGAAACAATAGTACTCAATACTCAATATTATTATCCACATCAAGGAATTAATAGGGTATTTGAAAGAATTTAAAAGGGAATATTTAATAATTTATTTTGAAAAATCATTAAAAAATGTGCTTGTTCGGAATTGAAAAGATTACTCAAGGAATTGCCTCTTATTGTTCATCGTTGAATGATGTGAGAGCTGTGGGCAGTGTTTGTAAATCGAGTCATCAAGCAGTGTTTGTATCTAGTGGATCGGAGAGTGTTATTTGGAAAGTACAGTATGATAGAATTTCCAAGAAGGCTTCATCATTGCCATCATCATCGGGTAATAATGAAACATTTAAATCTAAATTAATGAAATTGGTTATCAATGAAAAGTTTACCAAAATGAAATCGGTCTTCTCTGCAAAGAAGGGTCAATATATTCTCTTACAAGATATTGAATTTCCATCAAAATTTACATTGTTGGAAAAGAATTCTTTATTATTAGTGGATCAACTCTTCACCTTTTTAAATGTCAATAATAAGAATAAGGGACATGGTGATAGAATTTCTAAGTGTTTCCTTGTGATTGTTAGATGTTTGGTTGCTGTGAGTCAATTCCACTCTTCGGAAAAGTTATTGGATTTATTCAAGAAAGTGGTGAACAAGTTTATTGAATTATTTGGATCTCAATTCCATGATTCATTGGTGGATTTTGCTCCAAAACATAAGCCAAGATCTGTTCCAAAGGAAAAGGCCCTTGCACTCATCATTGAATTGGAACAAAGTGTTGTAGGAGTATTATCATACTTGATTCTTGTTGAAAAACTCAATTCAGCAAATCACAAGGCAGGTCTCTTCTCAAATTTATTGGATTATCAGGTTAAAGCTCAAAATGAAGAGTTAAAGTCCACTTTGTGGAATGTATTAGTAGAGATTTTCAATAATCATGCATCAACTCTTGAAATTCTGAAGAAAAAGGGTTCCAAAGATATCATTTCAAATTTATCAGTGGAAAGTGACGAAAAAACCAAAATATTGAGTGTATTCAATTGAGTTTGACCATAAACTAATTGATTTTATTCAATGGGTTTGAGTTTATACAAAATTTAATCCGAAGTATCCATTTTGTTTGAATTATTGGAAAGCAAAAAGGAGGAGGAAAATACAGCTCTATCTTGTGGAATATCTTTAGATGTTGGTTCAACTTGTTCCTTTACAGCTGGTGTTCCAACAGATGAAGAAGCAGCCTGATTTGGAACATTGGATTGAGAATAGGTTAGTGTAGTTGTTGGTGTTGTTTGCTTCTTTTCAAATTTATCAACATCAATGAGAGCACTGACATCATCGAATGGACAACATTTTAGAATGGCCATTGTTGGAGTTTGTTTCTTCTTCTTATTTGGATATGCTTGAAGTGAGGAGGAGGGATATGTTTTCTCAACCTCAGTTTCAATTGGAGTATTATTTGCTTGTGCCTTTTCAAAATCTGAAAGTTTCATTGGAGCAGCTGTTGCATTTGATGATGTTGAAATGTTATCATTTTCATTTCTACTTGTTTGCTGATTGAGAAATTTACCCAATCCATACTCTTCTGTACAACATTTCTGTGCCAATTCTTTAGGAGTTGATCTCTTCTTAGATTGATGATGTAACTGTGGACTAGAATCCATAAAGGATGTAAAGAATGATCGATTCTTCTTATCCTTCTTTGCTGGAGCAATATTTGAAGTGGAAAGATTGAAAAAGCCCATTGAATTGATTTGGTTGTTTTTTTACTATTTGTTTCTTGTTCAATGAATAGTTTCTTCAGGAAAGATAACACACTCTGTTCTCAAAATGGAGAATTACATATATAGAGTTGTTACTTTTTTACTTGAGTGAAGTGGGAAGTTTCTCATTTTTAATGAATTTGAACTTTATTTACAAAATATTTACAAAATAGTAACAATTATTGAATATCAATTGATCTAGTCTTTTTCTTTGGTTCTTCAACTACTTTTGGAACAGTAACTCTCAAAACACCATGTTCCAAAGCTGCCTTGACCTTATCAAAATCAGCATTTGGTGGTAAATAGACAGTTCTACTGAAAGAACCATGTGATCTTTCAACGCAGTGATATCTTTCATTATCTTCCTTCTTTTCCTTTTCAACATGACCACTGACAGTCATGGTTCTATGCTCTTCATCAATATCAATCTTTAAATCATCCTTTGTCATACCAGGAACATTACAAACAATTTTAACTTCATTTGTAGTTTCAGAAACATCAGTGGTTGGTTTAAATTCAGGAACTAATCTATCATCAAATCTATCAAATGCTCTCAAGAATGGATCATCAAAGAAAGTATCAACCCAATTATTGGTTCTGTGTTGTCTGGCCAATTGCTTATTATTGTGATGATTGTTGGAGCTCATTTTCAGTTGTTGCTTGTTTTGCAGTAGTGATTGTGTATTATTTGTTTTTTTTGTTGTGTATAAAAGGATTAGAGTGTTGTGATTGAATTTATAGTCCTGTATCTCAAATTCCGAGGAAACTTTTTTGGAAATTTTAAAATTAAAATTTTGTAATTCCGTTACAATACAAATTTGGCTTGCATTCAAAAATGGTTTCCAACAAAGTTGTGATCTCGATTCCGATGGTGCTTTTTACGGAACTTCCACTGGATAGCAACACCTTGAATCATCCATTCACATACAACAAGTCTTGTCCTTCTTCCTCCAAGCAACTATACAGTATATCCATCAAGGTTTCATTATTTTCCTTGACTATTAATATTTCTATATTTCACAATAGCTCGCAACAATTTAAATCCATTTCAATTATTTTATTCTGAAGTATGTTTATAAATTGAAACAAATGTTAAAAATGAATGTCTTAATCATCCTTAAATTAGAAAGACAGTATTGTGAACAATACATCCAAAAAGTATCCTAAATCCAAACCGCTTTCCGCAGTTACTTTGAAGAGTGCCTCAAAGATATCGAAAAAAGATGGGAAAATCAATCTGAAAGATATTTATTTTACAGAGATAAGCATCAAATTGATGAAGAACAGTTGTTTGCCATTTTGAGTACTGAAAGACAAGCACCTTTAGAATTTGAACCTTGTGATGAAGATGATTAAATAAAGGGAATAGAATGCGAAATATTGAATTGGCTGACAATGATAATTTATTGTTTGAGAGCAGAGCCCATTTGTTCTTTCAATTCGAATAATTTGTTCATTTGTTGATAACTGGATGTAATGAAGAAACGAGAGAAAGTATCATCCAAGTTAACCATCAAAGCACAATACATATCCTTTAAAGTCTCTTTCAAATCATCGCTTTCAATCTTGCCACTTTTAATCAATTCGAATTGAGAATTGAATGATTTCTTGATGTGATGAGAAAAATTGATTTCCATTGGAGAATTAGTTGCCACAAAATTTTCATTCCATTCAGTAAATTCTTTTTCCAGATCTTCCATTGATGGAATATTTCCCCTATTAATTTCCTCAAGAATAGGATAAAGTTTCTTCCAAAATATTACATTTTCTAATGAATGTTCTGTCTTGGCAAATTGTTCAAAAACTTGACAAAGTATTGGTTGAATAAGAATATCCTTGATTTGATTATCCTCTTCCACATCTTCATTTCCAATCTGTGAAGTATAACCCTTTTTAGAAGCCAAGTATTCATAAATGGAAATAATTGAAACTAATCCACCAAAACTTAAAATCAAAAGTAAATTATAAATCACTTCAAAAATATAGCCAACAATTAAATAGCTCTCTCTTGCATTGAGTGAAGTCTGTGAGGTGAGATAGGAGAAACCCATTGCATTGGAAATTACATAGAACGCAATACTAATGAAAAATAAGGCAAATTCCTTTCTGAAGGAAAGATTGTCATTCACAATAAAGTAATTCTTGATTGGGTTAATGAAGAGTTTCTTATCTGTTTCTTTCAATTTGGAATTCAATTGAACATATCTCAATTCCATATAAATATCCACTGCATAGATAACACAAACAAGTAATGAAATGGTCATTACAAATGCAAATAATGAGCTTGACATAATTTTTGTGTAGGTGTCTCCATCAATTGCACTCCTTCCCATCAGTGAAATGAAGATAACAAAATAAATAATAATGAATAGAGCAATAACAGCATTCCACACAATAGAGAAAAACTTGTTGGTGAGAATGATCTTGGTCCACTTTAAAAAGGTATCAGTTTGAGTTTCTTTCTTTTCACTCAAAATGGCCATCAATTCATAAACATATTTGAATGTAATATATCTCAAATTGAACATTAAATAGTTCAATAATGAGAGGCAATAGAAAGTGCAACTAATCATTGTAAAAACGGATTGGACTATTGAGCTATCTCCACTTCTATCCAATAACATTGAACCAGGAATAATCACGCTAAAAAGCAGTTCAATAATAAGAGATACCAGGGCAAAGTAAGGAAGATACCATCTGCTCTTTGTTGGATTCCTTCGTGAGGTTATAATTAATCCAACAATTGCAACAATAGCCAATACAATCAAAATTGAGCTGACAACAATTTTTCCAATGGTGAGAGGTATGCTACTGTATTTGGTAAATTGAAGGAATGCAGAGAATGTAGTGGTATGATTACATTGACAGTCAATAATACCATTAGATTGGTCAACCAGAGTTTTACATCCATCTGTTTTCCATAATCTTTCAGTTTCATCGAAATACTTGCAAGAAATAGTTAGTTGTGTGGAATTGGATTGGATGCTTTCTATGGTGCTCTTATCTACATTAAATTTAATGCTGATAGGGTTAGAGAGATTCGAAACGTTGAGAACTTGACCATTGGAAATATACTTGAGATCAGTAACCTTGGCCAAATTGACAAATGACGTTCCTGCTAATCCAATTAAATTATTGTAGGAATAGTTATTACTCAATACAGATCCAGATATTAAGGAGGCCAACTTTTCAACATTTAAATAGGTAACACTTCCAATAGAAATATCTTTTAAAGTACTTAGCTCACTAGGAGTTACTACTGTGGTATTTCCATCAGAAACAATTGATTGATTGATATTTCTGGCAACTGACACTATAAAAGAAGCTGTAACCACTTGGAAAATACTATCTGATTGGGATGAAATTCTAGTGGCCACCATTACCGTTTTCTCAATAATTGAATTACTTTCTGAGCTAATATTGAAATTTTGAGACGAGTAGCAGTTAGAATATGCCATTAATACATTTGACAATGTTGATTCGTATGAAGCACTTGAGGTCTTTAAGGTATTCGAATCCAGTTGACTAAGTTCCTTGGAAATATTAACAGCTAAATTAGAGATGGTGTTCAGAATAGTCGAACTAACTTGAGATTGGGATGTAATGACAGACAATGCTTCTGTAACTTTGAGAGTTTCATCAGCATTGGATGCATTTCTTTGTAAAGTTGAAATAGCGTTAGTGACAAGTTCCAAAACTTGAACAACATTAGTTGACTTGGAATAGGTATCCTTATTAGATGCAATGGTAGCAACATCACTAATTGGTAAAGTTTTGAGGAAACTTTCAGAAAAAACACTTTCGTATTCCATTACTTGTAAAGTATTGGAAAAGTCAACTGTGAATGATTCAGTTCCTAACGTGGCTGTTATAGAACATGAATAATTTCCCTTCTTCATGAACTTATCAATTGAAATAATCAATGGATTGGTGAATGATTGGATGTTCAAAGGTGTATTGAAATATGTGGTCAATTGATTTTTGCATTTCATTTCATAAGTAGCTGATTGGTAAACTGATTTGAATGATTCCGCATAGTTCAGTACTACTTTAACACTTGTATTAGTGTAAGTGACAGTTGAATAAAACTTTACATCAAATACAGGAGTCAGGCAATCTTTTCCATACCATCCACTTGTACAACCTGAAATTACATACTTTCTAATAGTTGAATCTGCAACAATTATAGATCCATCATTAGTAATAGAAAGTGAGTTTGGCTGGAAGAGTATTATTTCATTCTTTCCTGGTGTTCCAATTATTGTTGAGATAGTATTCGATGATCTATACCATCTTCTAATACATTGATTGGATTTTTCTAAAATAGCCATATCTCCATTAGAAAAGAATGCAAAGTGATTTAATCTCATTGAATAAGTTTCTGGTGTTAGATCTGTTTCATTAGAATAAGTAATACAATCAGATTTTCCAAATAAGGTAATAAGTGATTTGTTTTGCATAATCTTGTACATATTACACAAAACTGAATCATAAAATACAATATTACCATCAATGGGATCTACTGACAAACGGTTAACAGATTTTCCAAACAATGTATCGTTACCAACAAACACATCAAGAATTCCATTACTGTCAACTGTAAAAATTGACCCAACACTGCCAATAAATATCTTTGAATCATTCATCATAACTGATCCTATTTTGATTGATGAATTAGAAGCCAAGCCCCCATATTGAACTTCATTATGAGCGTGGTATCCTCCAATTATTGTTGTCATTACTCCACTCACATCAATTTTCATCACTGCTGTAGTGTTGGCAAAGTACAGATTATCAGAGTTTTCAAACAATGAAATTGAAGTACCAACAGGTGAATTAATGGCAAGAGTTTCACCTACAACATAGGAAATGCCAAACGAATCTGTTCTTCCATTACCAGCAATAATAGTAGAAATACCATTCGTATATTTGTGAATGAATGGAACAGCAGCTTGGTAGGCATATCTCAACTCTCCACTCTGCTTATCCACAATAAATTGTGAAACAGTATTCAAATTGGTATTGTTTGCCAGAGTTGGCTCATTATTTCTCACAAAATATTTGGTTGAGCATTCTCCTGCAATAACAGCATTTGAAGTTCTATTGTAAATAAATCTTGTTCTTTCTGAAACAATTACATTACCAAATGAATCAATCAAATAGGCATATGGTGAATTAATTCCTGTATTATTCAATACAGCTTGTTGAGCAGTATTAATTTCATAAGCTAAAATTGGTTGACCATTAGCACTCGACATGTAGAGAGTTTCTCCAAATTTAACTAGTTTAGTTGGATAGAGTGTTGGATCATACACTACAGTTTGCATTTGTCTTGTATTCAAATCGATAGCTGTAAGTTTTCCAACAATTGCTTCGACCACAAATAATGTATATCCATCTAAAACCAATCCTTGAGGATTTCCAAGTGAAACTTTAGCAGCCCCAACCGTATTAATATTACCATCACCTGCTACAGTGGTTATGTTACGATAAATCATATCATACATTCTCACTTTGTTATTGCTTGTATCTGAAATATACATGTATCGTCCAGTTTCGGATATAGCAAGGCCCATTACACCATTAAATTGAATTGTTTCCATTGGATTATTATCACCACCGTAACCAGAACTACCACAAACTCCAACAAAATCCTCAATAATATTCGTCATCAAATTTACCCTTCTAACGCAACTGTTACCAGCATCTAATATGTTTCGAATAAAAACAAAATAAACATTCATGACATACCTGCAATATAAACATATCCTCCAAACTCAACAATATCCAAAGGGTTTGCAAGTATGGCCAAAGTAGCCAAAACACCATTTCCATAATATCCATAGGCATAACTTCCAGCAAATTGTGAAATTTTTCCATCACTTGAAATTCGTCTAATAACATCATGTCCAGAATCGACAATATAAATCGTATTATTTGAGCCCATTTTCACAACCTCTATCGTATCCAAACATGCCATTTTAGCATCCAATCCATCGCCATACTTGTTGAGTGAATTCAATGACATGCCACCAGCAAGTAAAGTGGAAGTTGTTGAATATTTGAAGGAACCTGAAGGATTGGACTTGGCAGTTGTTGTTATCGAAAGGAGGAGTAACAACAGTGCATGTAGTAGTACAGCCACTGACAGCAGTGAGATCAATGACGTGGGATTTGGCATGTATCAAAATGTCAAGTAGTTGTTTTTGATTTTTTTTGGAGTGGATTGAAAGTTTGTTGGGTTGACTGCAAATTGGTAGGTTCTGGTCTGTTCGTTGGTAGTTTCTGCTGATCACTAGATTTTGATTAAACTGTTTATTTTGATTACCATAGTCTAAAAGTGTACCATTACCTATTTACAATATTTAATGATCAATAGTTACATTTCGATATTCACTTTGTAAAAGATTAACAATGAACATTATTAATAATTGCTTCATTAGGTATTTCTAAAAGATATTTCCCCATTAGTCAATTACAAAGTATTTTATTTACAATTTGATAATTCAATAATTACATTTCAATATGCACCTTGTAAAGTGATGGGAAGTTTTGATGTGGAATTTGAGCCATCTTTTTAACACAATCACTGATATTTCTCATTTCAGTCATAGCCTTTTGGAATTTCTCTGGAGATTCCCAATGAGCATAATTAATATATTGATATTGAGATTTTTCCATATCAAGTGCCTTATGAAGAGAGGTGTGAATGTAACCATCTTGTTTCTTCAAGAATTGAGCACATTCAACCCAAGCCAATTCAAATTCCTTTTCATCTTTGCTGTCAATATGGAATGGATTCATTAAGATGACATGTTTAGTTTTCATGGATTTCAATGGACAGTTTGGATTGTTGAAGAACATGTTGAGTTGATTAGGGCAGTATTATATCTTAATTAGATTTGCTTGTTTTTTTCAAATTGTTGTTTGATTCAATTGTCCAAAAGTGTTTCTTTAAATAGTCCGCAAAAATTACTCCACCAAATTTCTCTCCAAGCAAACAGAGGACAGTTTCAAAAAGACTGAGGACATTTTTCATATCTCTCTTATGTGAGTGGATATTTTTGAAATGATAGGAAGGGATTATTCTTCTCTAATATCCTCTAATTTCTCTAATAACTTGTCAACTGTGAGCTTTTTGTAATTTTCGAATATGTCTTTGAAAAATAGAATCAACTCTTTGGAGAGAATTCTCTGGGTTTCTAAGAGTGCTATCTTTTCAGAGAGGCTTTTCTTGGCAGGAATCTCTCCTGTGGAAACATAGAACATAGTGGCTGCGTATGAATACAAATCCTCTACTTTTGAATGATTTCCTGTTCCAGAGCTATAATCATGCTTTCCTCTAAACGAAACAGATTCAACAGTATTTTCAATAACTCTGCCAAAATCTCCCAAAGCTATTGAAATTTCTTCATTTTGTAATTTTTTGATAAACACATTGCATGGTGAAATGTCACAATGAATTTTTTCCTTATCATGTAGGTCCTTCATTCCTTTGAGTAATTGCTTTGAAATCTCCAATATCATCTTGTTGGAAAACTTTTTTCGTTCTAATAATGTTCCGTGTTCAAAATATTCCATGAAATAATACACCTTATTATCCTTAACAAAAATCTTATTGAAATGAATCAAGTAATTGCTGTTGATATTTGCAATTTTGACTTCCTCTAATGCCTCCCTCACTGTAGCAGTGTGTAATACTCGCACTACTACATTCTCTTTTCCAGTATTCACTTTATAAATTAGAGCATCTCCACCTTTTCCCAATTGCACTATATCGCTCTCTCCACATACTAGCAAATCCATAATCACTTTTCTTGGTTCTGTATACATTTTCAGATGAACTACTCGATCCTTCTTATTAAGAGGAGCCAATTTTCTAATCATTACTTGAATGTCATTATCATCATTGACAATTATTGAACTATTGTTGAATTCATATTTACATATAAAATCTATTGTTGACTCTAAAGCTAATTTACTTCTGCATGCTTGTGTGAATGTAGCAAAAGATTCAAGATTTTCCTTTGTAAAACTTGTGTCTACCTTTCCATCATAATTTGTTTTCAAATTCAAAATTAGTGGGAATTTTTGTTTCGTATCAAGTTTTCTGAACTCACGAGGAACAAAACTAAATTCTGAAATCATCACTTTCACATCGTCATCATCACTGACAACTTCCAAACTTGAATTATCTTTTCCCTTCAAAAGAAAACAATCCTCCTCAATTCCAATTAATTCAATCAGTTTCAAATAACTAATTTCCGTTGATATCCTAATCCACCTGTCCCTAAACAAAATTTCCATACCATTTGGTGATCCGACACTCGCAGTAGAACTATTCGATAGAGAGGTTGAATATTCTTCATCATTCAAAACTCTAGATATTGATGTTTTACTAGAATTACTACTTCGTATCGTTACACTCGTTGGAGAGCAAGAGAGTGGTGATAGACCACCCCCTTCCGATTTTAAATCTAAAATATTCTCATCATCAGCACCTGGGTTGGAAATAATCGTCACCTCTGATGTTGGTAATTTTGAGGTTGTTTTGAAGAATTTGTTGAGCCACATTTTTTTAAAGTTTCTTTTCGTATTTGAAAGATAAGTCATTATTGGAAATGAACCGAGGTGTTGAATATGATAACATTGTTAATATCCATGAAATTTGTAATATATTTAAATAATATTAACAAATATTGAAAAAAAATGAAACATTTTAAATCTTGTTTTTCATCATCATTCAAGACACTCTCACAACATCAAAGTAATAATAATAATAATGTAGTGGTACTATTAAATAATAGCCAAGGCTTCATCAAGAGAAATATCTATCAGAGACCACAGCCTAAATTGTATGTTTTTTTAAAAATCATCATCGGAATGAATAATCGGAATGAATAATATTTAATAATATATTTGAAATATAAATTGATGATAATATAGAACACTTTTTGATAGAAATCAAGTTAGAAAACATAAAGAATACTCACTTAAATGTACAGATGGAAAGGAAGGAGAATATGATTATGTAAAGGCTATTATTGCCAATAGTATTGTGGATAGATTGAGTGTAGGTTTGTTAAATATTATTATTGTGGATTTATCATGTGGTGGATTTAAAGTATTTCTCGAAATCATTAAAGAGTGTTTGTGAAATTGGATGTGGAAAGGGATTTTTAATTGATAGACTATTGAATAAGACAATTATTGATTTTTTACCACCTGACGAACGTAAAACTGCTTTAGAACAAGCAAAGAAAAACAAATCATCAATTGGAGAAACCGAACTTAATTATCCAGTATTGCATTTCCAAGGAATTGAAAATTATACACTTTGTGACCAAAGTCAATTGCATTTGGATGCTATTCAAATACCGAGTGATTTAGGATTAATTAAAGGAAATACTATCAAGAATATTACTAAAGTGCATTTGGATGAGGATGGTGCATCACTGCCGTTTGAGGATAATTCATTGGATTGTGTAGTTGCTGGATTCTATTTGCATTGGGTAAATGATTTACCAGGATTTTTAAAGGAAGTGGAAAGAGTATTGAAACCTGACGGTGCATTTGTTGGAGCATTACTTGGAGGAAATACTTTATCAGAGTTGAGAACAAGTTTCGTCCTTTCTGAACAGGAAAGAGAAGGAGGTGTTTCTCCACACGTCTCCCCACTCAGTTCCATTGAGGATGCAGGAAATGTCTTGACAAGAGCAGGTTTTAAATTACCAACAATCGATGCCGAAACAATCAAAGTATACTATCCTGATCCATTCACTTTAATGCACCACTTACAAGGAATGGGAGAAAATAATGCCTTATTCAAGAGAAGAACTGTTATTTCCAGACAAACATTAATAGGAGCTGCAGCCATTTATGATCACATGTTTAGAGAAAATGATAGAGGAGTGCCAGCAACCTTTGAGGTTATTCACATGATTGGATGGAAGCATGACGAAAGTCAACCAAAGTAAGTTATTTCCTAAATATTTTGAATTCTAATTATTGTAAAAAAGACCCGCTAAAAGAGGTTCAGGAACTCTATCAATGAAAGATTTTGCTAAAGAAATAGGTACACAATTACATGTCGCTGTTGATGATGAATCAAATCCAGGTAGTTCTTGTAGCACAAAATAAAATTCCTTCCTCTCTTCAAAATATATAAAAGACCTATTCTAAATTTTTAATCTTCCAATCTGATTCCTTCTCTCCTTTCTCAATTGTAACTTCCAAACTCTTATCATTTACCAAAATCTTTGCGATTTTAGTAATGTGTGAAATAAAATCAACCTACCAACATGCAAGCTCTCAAATCTTCCCATTCATTTCTACAACCATTTTCAACACCCTTTCCTTTCAAAAAAGTATTTGAGTACCAATCATCAAAACAATATTTATAAGCAGCCTCCAACTTTGGACATTCCTTCTCCAAATTTACATTAAAAGTGTGTTGAGTAATTGTTCCTCTTTCACTATCCTTACGTGTTTCCTCTCTAACATTATAGAATGATGATTCCGATGATGAATTCTCTCCTCCTCCAATAGTAGCACTTTCTTGTGATGACATTTTTTAAAAAAATTAAATTTTATCTTTTCTTTAAAATTGCAATTTGGGAAGATTTAATCTGCAATTTTAAGTTCTATTCCAATAGACCTAACTGCCATCATGAATTATTTACATTCACTATTCTAAAATTCAAAGGCTTTTTATCAAAGTTTAAAATTTATTTTTAAATTCAATCAAAAAAAAATTGAATAAAAAATGCAAAAACTTTCCAACAACAAGAAATTTATTCATCAACTCATTCATCACACTCTCAAGAGTGGTAGTACTACTGTTACATACGGAGGAGGGAGGCAATCAGCATTATCAATTTTGAATAATTTTAATGGACAACAACAATTTTTCAGAGAATTACAACAATTGAGAAGGTTTTCATCATGCCAATTATTAAAATCAACAACAACACCTCCTACTCCTACTCCAACATCAAATCAGAATAATGCTAATAATTCCGTAGCCTCTACTTCCACCAATGAAGCAAAAAGCACAGAAAACACCACACCACAAGCTAATACTACTACTGCTGCTGAACAAACTCCTCAAGAAACACCAAAACGTTCTAAATATTATGATGTAGACCTTGGAAGAGAATTAACACAAGAGGAAATTCTTCAAAAACAAAGGAAGAGAAAGTATTTATATGCCTTCCTTGTTTTTGCAGCAATTGGTGGTATTATTACTCTTGGATTGTACAAGGCAATGATTGAAATTCAAAATTTGACTGTCTTCTCGGATATGGTTGAAACTTTATTTATTAATAATGATAGAGAATTAGTTCTTAATGCAGAGAGTGCAGTTTTGGAAAGTTTTAAATATTTGGACGAATTCAAATTCTCTGACGAAATGTTACAAAATTTCCACGCAATTTTTGGAGATTTTGAGTCCATGAAGTCTATTAAACTTTTAGGACCTAATTTTGTTGAACAAACAGTTCACAGACTTTACCTCGTTTCAAAAGAGTATGTGTTAATAGTATTTGAATGATTTACATTATTTTATAGAAATATTCCAGGAGGAAAATACGGAGCTTTTGATATGGAATCGAGATTATACTATTTCTTCCCTATTGTTAATAAGGATACAGGTGCTACTTCTGCATTAAAAGTTACATTTTATGTTAATGATAAACATACAGCTGACCTGAGAGCTAGAAGAGAAAAGACAAAGAAAGATATGGAAGAAAGACAAAAGAAAGAAAAGGAAGCTAGATATCAAAAAGAAAAAAGAGATAAAATCAATGATGAAAGAATTAAAAAAGGAGAAGCTCCACTTGAAGAACCAGAACCAGAACCAATAGTAGAAGAGCCAAAGGAAGAAAAACCTATTTTTGTTCCACCAGTAATTTTGGAAAGTATTCACTTGTGTGATCCAGCTCAACTTGCTGAAGCATTCGAAGAAAATTTCTTTGCTCAACATGACAAGCATCATTTATATGGACTTAAGGAATTATCATATTCTTGGCCTTTTGGTCAAACATATAATGGAGGAAAATCAGAAATTCAAATCTTTAAAAATCCTGAACTTGCTGACAAAATTCCAGTTATAATAACACAGCTTGGTGCCATTAATATGCCTTCACCAATCCAAAAAGTAGGACATTTTTATTTAGAAAATCTTGACAATGAACGAGTGAAATTGGATTTGAGATCATCTTTACCAACCTCAAATTAAATACATTTCTATTTATTCAATTACTGTACATTTTGTAAAAATGAATTTTTTAACAGCTCATCATTACTCTTGGAAATTGTAGTCAAGACATCTGTAAAATACTTCTTGTAAAAATCAAATACTTCTGGTTTTGCTTCTTTTAACTGATCCATTAAAGAAAGTAATTTTTCGAAATGTTTCTTTGACTGATTCAGCGTTATGAACAGCTTACTTTCCACATTTCTTAAATCATCAACTCTAGAACAAACACTCTCCCAATAATTGTCATCTTTTCCAATTAACAAACAGAATAAATGTAGAATACTTACTTTCGGATCTTGTTGCCTCCTGAAGACTATTCTTGAAAAACTCAACTACATCTGGTTGATTCAAATTTTTAGTGGCATTTGTCTGAATACCTAAATTAGACAAGCTCTTATCTTGATCCTCCGTGGCAACTGGGGTTGATACTTCTTTCTGTACAATTTGAACACTTGGAACACTTTTGATAACATCTCGTGTCTGTTCACAAAAATCTCGTTGTGCTTCAATAATGGTTTCCTCCAAAGCCTCAGAGCAACCCTCAATTAACCCCTTAGACTCCTCAGCTAGAACTACAAATAAATCATCATGTTCCTTCAAAGTATCTTCTAGATATTCGTTCAACATTTCTATTAGATTTTCTCTGAAGGCTGTTACTCCAAGACTTAAATTATTTTTCATCTCTTCAGTTATTGATTCAAACTTTGCAGCTGCCTGCCTATCGGTTTCTGGCTTTCTTTCCTGTATTTGGCGTATCATATCCTCGTTTGCTTTCTCTTCTTTCAGTTTTTTGATATATTCATCCTTTTCCTTGATTAACTTGACATGGTTTTGGATTTCTGCTGTTTTTTCATCTAAATCCTCTTTTATAATCTTGACATCTCTTAAGAATAAAGTTTTTGTGCGCTCCAGCTCTTTAGCCTGCATCTTGATCGACGTTTCCATTAGCTTTAATCGTTCCTTTATATCCAGGCTATAGTCCTCTCCCTCATATTTTACCGGTATTGAATGTAACCAATCATGATAGTCCTCCAACTCCTTTTGTCTTCCTCTTTGATCTTTTTCAATTTCCTCAAGAGTCTCCAATTTTTTGTAAAATCTTGTGTGTACATTAACCTCATCTGAGTTTAATATGGAAACAGGCCCCATCCCTTTGTTATTAATGAAATCTCTTAATTGCTTATTTTCCTCTCTTAATTTTGAATTTTCCTCAGTTAAATTTGCAATTCTCTATTTGGATAAGAGGGCAATTATTGATCATACTTACCGAAGAGGCTTTTGAATTTTGTTCAACTGTTTTTCTAAGCCTGTCGATTTCTTTTTCATACCTCTTGATTAAAATAGAGTCGTCAATCATTTCATTGACTTTGGCGTTGAGAACTACTCTTTTGGCTCTGTCTGCGAACTTTAAAGTAGAAAGTGATTCATCATAAGCCAATACTGATGATGAAACAGTAGCAACGAAAACTGTCTTGGTATTTCCTCCAAGTGAGTCCTGAAGTAGTCTTGTAAGTTTTGAATCTCTAAAAGGTATGTGACTTCTATTACTTTGCATCAATGCTGAGATACAATTACCAAGGGCAGATAAACTCAAATTGATAGAGTTCATTTCTTGAATTCTTCTATCTCCCATTTTGTTTGAATATATGGTGTTCCATTTTTCCTTATTAAATTTGTGAGATTTTTAATTCTTTGATTCCAAGTACTTACACTACCAGCCAAATCGACAAGATTTAACTTTGATACCTTGACGAATGCCTCTTCCTGGTTGCTTGGGTTTACAGGCTCTTGCTCGATAAACATTTGGAAAATTGTATGTGATCTACTTGATCTCTCGTTCATGTCAGTAGAAGAAATACTTCTGTTCTTTGCTCCCTTCTCCATTAAAGCGAAAATCTCCTCCTCCTTAGATACGCATACTGTAGTCAGATCTTGAACATAAACACCTCTTTTTCTGTCCTCTCTAACATCCAAATGACTAACCTTATCATTATAATTTAACAGATCGAAAATTTTCTCATTATAAATCTCCAAATATGAACAATAAACTCTATACTTGATACTCTTTTTTGTTTTTTTAATGTGCTGAATAATCTGCTCCACAGATCTAGGTATAATACCTCTTCTTTCATCGTGTAAAATGGTTGACTTGGATTGAATTATCTTTAAACCAAATATAAAATTGAAAACTTACCATTGAATTTTCTCCATTAAAATTTTCTGAACTAAAGTCTATTCCCATCATTCTGTTATAAATTGTTATTCCTCATTCCGCCTCAGTCAATTAAAAACTTACGTGAATGTTTTTCCTGTACCAGTTTGTCCACTTTATCACATTATTATTGGTACACTTAAAGAGTTGAATACTTACTAAGCAAATATGGTACCATTATAACCCTCAGTAACTGCAGCTATGGTATCCCTCACAGATTCATACAATTCACCTTGAGTAGTTTCCTTTGGGAATACATGATCAAAAAACATTTCCGATCTAGATTTTCCCTTTTTGATTACAACTGTGCTTTCCTACGTGATTTTAGTTTTGGTTACCCTCCAAGAGTTTTAATTCAGACTTACATCAACAACAGATATCGATTCCTCATGGTCCTGTTCATAATCCAATTGTGGTCGCACTCTAATAGCAACCTTAATATTTTCTCTATTATCGGAAGGGCTGGATATAGACGATTTGCTCTTGACCTTTTTTAATTGATCCAACGAAGAACCTCCTTCAACAATCTACACAATGTTAATATTGAAACCGTAGAAAAAGACACTAACCTTTGAGATTGTATTTACCGAAGAAATGTCCAGTAGTGAAAGAGTGGCCGAAGGGTTCCTCTTCATTCCTTAATTTTTTAAATGATAAATTTAAAAGTGGCGCCAAACTGCAGCAATGTGAAGAATCAATAATGATCATATTCAGTAACAGTAACAAACAGCAAGTCAAATTAGATGTCATTGGTTTGTAGGCCATGGTTGATTATTGGTATGTTTGAATTGTGTGATAGAATGTAGTTAAAAGTGCAATAGAATGTAAAATTCGATATTGCTCGTTCCTCATCCAATTAATTTGGTGGTTGAGTTGCAATAAAGTACTTTAATTATTATTGTGATGTTTCAACTGCTTTTTAATGTTCGGAGGTGTAATTGTTATATTTTGATGATGTAAAACACATTCCTGTGATGGTCAATCGAAAATACTTTCGTGTAGTCTATTGGTATTGACAGTGAAAAAGTTAAGCACCTTCAATAACCAACTTGCATTAATTTTTCTTACAATCAGAAAAGCGTGGACGTTAAACGCAGCCACCTGTTCAAACACCGAACAAGTGAGTAATTTTTGTGTTTTGGAGAGGATTTGAAGACTCGACCCTCATCAGCATTCAGCGCTAAGTTTTGTTGTAAAAGGCGAGTTTTTGCGCTAACTATTAAAAACTTCGTCGAAAAAAAAACAGCCAAAACATCAAAATGGTCTTTGTTAAAATCCAAAAAACCAAGGCTTACTTCAAGAGATATCAAGTCAAGTTCAGAAGACGTAGAGAAGGTAAGACTGACTACAGAGCCAGACAAAAGTTGATCACTCAAGACAAGACTAAGTACAATACTCCAAAGTACAGATTCGTTGTCAGAGTTACCAACAAGGACATTGTCTGTCAAATTGTTGCTCCAAAGTTGAAGGGTGATGAAGTCATCTGTGCTGCTTACTCTCACGAACTCACCAGATTCGGTATTCCAGTCGGTCACACCAACTATGCTTCCGCTTATGCCACTGGTCTTTTGCTCGCCAGAAGATTGTTGAAGAAGGTCGGTTTGGACACCAGATATGCTGGTATCACTGAAACTGATGGTAGCGTTTTCTTGGTTGAACAAGCTGAAGATGCTCCAAGACCATTCAAGGCTTTCCTTGATGTTGGTTTGGTCAGAACTACCACTGGTAACAGAGTTTTCGGTGCTTTGAAGGGTGCTTGTGATGGTGGTTTGTATATTCCACACTCCAACCAAAGATTCCCAGGTTTCAACAAGGAAGACGATTCATACAATGCTACTGCTCACCGTGAAAGAATCTATGGTGTCCACGTTGGCAAGTACATGAAGTCATTGAAGGAAGCCAACGAAGAAGAATTCAAGGCTAAGTTCTCTCAATTCATCAAGAATGGTGTTACTGCTGAAAACATTGAAAAGAAGTACAAGGAAGCTCATGCTGCTATTAGAAAGAACCCAGACGCTGTCAAGACTGAAAAGACTGCTCCAAAGACTCAAAAGAGATTCTCCAAGGAAAAGTTGGACCTCAAGTCAAGAAAGCAAAGAATCGAATCCAAGAAGGCTAAGCTCATTGAAAAGCTCAATGCTATCCAACAATAAATTCTCTAACCTCGCAATTTTCAAAAACAAACTGTACATAAAACAAACATAAAAATTATAAATTATTAAAAAATTAAGTTCTCTTCTACCTATCACATCACTTGAAAAACTGATAGTGGACTATTCGAACTGAAGGATGAGAACGTGATTTTCGTCATCTAATCAACTTTCGACATCGAGTTTCGAACTCATAAAGAAAAAAAACAATGCTTCAACGTGACTTTGGTCATTCAAGTTTCGGAATCAGATCCTTATGCTGCAAATCAAAATTTAGAACCTTTATCTTTATTTTGTGGCTCTTCTTCTTTGTATTCTGTGGATATTATCTTTATTTAATCTCATCTATTCAGAATGTTAAGGAGGATGTGGAAGATACATTCAATGATGACATTAAATTGGATAATCATCAAACTCTCTCTGTCATTCCTATTCTAATTTTTACTTACAAGAGACCCGATTACCTAAAGAAAACTATTGATACACTGCTGGAGTAAGTTTACATTAAATCAATGAGAAAGTATTAAAGGAAATTAATGAAGATACATACCTGAATCTGGATTTGATTTACTCGTCTCTCAAGATGGATATGAGGAACAAGTGACAAAAGCTATCAAAAGATATGGAGGAAAAATTAAACATCATTTTCAAAGAGAGAGAAATGTAATCATGACTGATAAGAATCCAAACTTTTTATCATATTATGCTATTGCACAACACTACAAATTTGGAATTGATAGTGTCTTCAAAGCTGATGAAAAATATGATAGAATCATTATTTTGGAGGAGGATTTACAAGTTTCAAATGACTTTTTTGATTACTTTGGCAAATTGTCACCTTTATTGGATAGGGATAGTTCTCTATTTTGCATTTCTGCTTGGAACGATAATGGAATGAGTGATTTCGTACAGGATTCTCCCAAAGTATATAGATCTGACTTCTTCCCAGGACTTGGTTGGATGATGACACGAAAATTGTGGGAGGAAGATTTTGGTCCAAAGTGGCCATTAGGATTTTGGGATGATTGGATCAGAGAAGGTCAAAATAGAAGGGGAAGAGCTTGTATAAGGCCTGAAATCTCTAGAACATTCACATTTGGATCTGTGGGAGGAGCAAGTTCCAATCAGTTTTCAAACTTCCTCAGTAGAATTAAATTGAATAGTGAAAAGGTTGACTGGGAACATTTTGATATTAATTCACTCAGAAAATCCAATTATGACAGGAATTTAATTCAAGAAGTCAACTCGGCTACTCTTGTTAATAGTGTTGCAGAATTACTCAATAAGGAGAGAAGGAATGAGAATATTCGATTGATATATTCTAACAGTGAGGAGTATTTGGACATTGCCAGACAATTAGGAATTATGGATGATATCAAATCAGGAGTACCAAGAGGAGCCTATTTAGGAATTGTAACAGTAAAGTGGAGATCCAATACTTTACACATTACAACCAAATCACTCAAACCAGTAACATATAGAAACTCTTCACCTTACAAATTGTGACAATTATTTGGAGCATTTTAAAATAACTCCCATTGGTCTTGGATATATTCCTACTCATCCCTTAATACAGTAACACCCACAGTTAGAAGCAGTAATTTCTACCATGAAACAGAATTTAATAACAATCCCAATAATGAGATTCAAAAAAGTTACTACTCTATAATCTCCTGTACATTCGCTTCTCACGATCAGTACTGGTAAAACCTCAAAAAATGGGACGTTACTGAAAAATTATTTTAAAAAAAAGAACACGATTGAGGTGTGCAACACTAGAGCGCAAAATTTACGACTATTTTTTTTCTAAGGATTTTTCTTCATCAAAATCCAAACAAGTTTAATAAGAACAACAACAACAATAATATTGGAGGATTTAATTGTACATAGGGATGATCGTATTACCATCACAAGCCGAAGGAAGGGAAATGAAGATGAGTTTCAGACCATCAGCAAAGAATGATTCATCGGCCTTTGTTGCTGCTCTTCATAAGGAACCTTCTGCTGATAAAGTAAAAAAGGAATCAAAGAAGAATATAGACTCGATAAGACATGTTATACGCGAAGAGGATAAAAAGATTGATATATCATTGACTTCAGTTGATGGCCCTTTATTTGTAAGTGTTGGTTAAATACCAAAAAGGCGATAAGGAATTAATTCTCTTACTATTATTTAGAATCATGCTGTTAAGAGACATTTCATCAAACCACCAGTAACTCAATCATTGGATCGATCAGCAGGAAAGAAGAGAGTGGAAATTACAAAGGAGGAACGTTATGAAAGAGCTGGTGTTTCCACACTGAAGGAAGAAGCACAATTCCATAAAAAGATCTTTAAAGAACAACCAGAACGTAGGGATAAACCACAAGGAAAGGCAGTTGTGAGAGCCACACCAGATCCTCAAGTTGCTGGTAAAATATCCTGCCCTTCTGAAAAGGAATCAAGAAGAAAATTATTTGCCGATAAGAACACTGTTGCAAAGAAGGAATATGACTTTAAGGACAGTAGAAAGAGGATTTCAAGTCCAAAATATAAAAGCATTACAGCTCCATTCCCAGTCAGAGGTGGAGGAATGATGCCAGAGGATGCAAAGATTGGTATTAAGGTGCATTCTTCAACCAAACCAAAAGATCACGGAGATGTTATTTCATATACATTTGGTAAGTGATTTGATTTTTCAATATTAACATTTATTGATAAAAGCATCCATGAAGGATAAGGAACAAAAGCCAACGGCTCCTAATAAGGAAAGATTAGCTTACGAAAAGTTGATAACAGAATGCGGAAAACAACAAGCTCAAGAGAATAGTGCAGTCTACAATTATTTAAAATCAAGGAGATCAGCTAGCTCACTAGCTTTAACAGAGCATTTATATGATCACAAAGGTCCAGTTGTGTAGAATAATACTAGGAATTTCTTCAAAATGTAAAATAAAATTATTGAATGTTGCTAATTGAATACTGATTATTTAATAAGTATCAATATATTTAGCTCTAGCATCAGCTCTAGCTAACCATCCCTTCAAGAACTTGTTATTGGCAGTACCTGGTCTTCCCCAATACAAATAATCCTTTCTGTGTCTTTCGTTCAAAAGTCTAGCGAATGCCTTAGCATCTTGATTCTTGTATCCACCGAGTTCATTGAGGTATTGTCTTGATCTACCAGTACCAGAGTTGACAGCAATATCAGCACAGACATAGAAAGCAGGTTGTGGCAAGTTAGCACATCCTCCTGGAGTGAAATAATTAGTAGTGTACAATTTGGCAGCACATGTCTTATAAACAGCAATATTCTTATTGTAAGCATAGTAACAGAAATCAGCTGGATGACCAGTGTAACCACTAGCCAATGGAGCAAAGATTCCATTTCTATTATTCCAACATTCACTATTGTATTTAAGAAATAATATTAATTGTCAGATGTCAACAGTTCAGTAAACTAATAAATTTCAATTGAAACACTTACGCTGGAATAACACCCATACAAGTGTAACCAATCTTTCCTTGGAATGAATTTCCAGAATCACTAGCCCAATTTTGACACTTTCCTTCACTCTTGAAAATTTCAGCCAAAGCTTCAGCAGCCTTATCACCAGTCTTACTATCACGTCCACCGGCAGTTGATGATGAACCAGTATTAGTATTACTATTAGAACATGCCATCTTTAAAAATTGAGCAGAAACCCATTGATTGTCACCAATACGAGCCCATTTAGTTCCATCCTTATCAGTAGTTTCATAGACAGTGACAGGAACATTATTTCCCAAAGTCTTGACGAGGTTTCCACCAGGACTTGTTCTAACGTTCAATGCGGAGGCAACATTGGTACAACGAGATTCTGGAGCGAAGGCTTGTTGATCAGCCAATGATTGGACATTCTTTTCGAGTAATTGTTGTTTAATTTCTTGGATCAAAGCTTTGGCTAATTTCTTCTCTAATGAGAGAGCACTTGTCAAACCAAGAATGACACACAAGAAGGTGGTGATGAGGAGAATCACGGAGAGCTTTTGCATTTTTTTTTGTGATGAGAAAATTGATACTATTTTTAAGAATTTTGGTTATCATAATGATTATCAAAACTATTGGAAAGATCAGTAAATTGAGATTTGAGAAATACAACAAATTTTAGTGTTTGTAAATTAGACTCTAAAAATATATTAAGAAAATTTTCAAAGTGAATGTAAGCCTTCCTAGCTCAGTTGGCAGTAGCGCTGTCCTAGTAAGACAGAGGTCTTGGGTTCGATTCCCAAGGGAGGCATAGTTTTTGCATTTTCTATATTTTTACAAATGGGTTTATTCATATTTTACAATTTAGAAAGAAGTCCAACCTCCATCCACAGTCATAACACTTCCATTCACAAAACTGGCATCATCAGACACCAAAAACAATGCAACCTTTGCCAATTCTTCTGGTTGACCAAGTCTAGGAATCAACTTAGTTCCCAAATACATTTTTCCAGCTCCCAATGGATGAGGTGACTTGATTTCAATTCCAGTAGCAACACTTCCAGGTGCAATAACATTACATCTGATCTTATCACTGTAATGGAATGCAACATTCTTACTCATTCCAACTAATGCATGCTTACTTGCAGTGTAGGCAATTCCAGCTCTACCACCATGTAATCCACCAACTGAGGCAATGTTTACAATGGATCCATTACCTTTTTCAAGGAAAATTGGAATTGCTTTTCTCATGGTTCTCATTGGAGCTGTTGTGTTAACAGACATGACTTTCTCCCACAATTCATCTGAAATATCGTGACATGGAACAAAGTTGTCCATGATACCTGCATTATTGACCAAGATATCTAGTGTTCCAAACTTGTTGATTGTTTCTTCGAAGAGTTTGTCCACTTCTTCTTGTTTGGATACATCACATTTGTGTCCAAAAGCTACACCTCCTAATTTTTCAATTTCTTCAACAGTTTCTTGAATTCTTTGTTCAACAACATCAGTAACCACAACCTTGCATCCTTCTTCAGCATATGTAAGGGCGATAGCCTTTCCCATTCCTTTAATAAAACCATAAATTAACACATGGACACAGTTCCATTAAAACAGTAAAATAAAAAACAAACTTACCAGAGCCAGATCCAGTAACAATGGCAACTCTTCCTTGCAATTTCTTTGTTTCAGTACTCATTATTAAACAGTTATTGGTTGGTGTATATTTCTTGTTGTTTTTTTATTGATTGTCATTAAATTGAAAAGCATTTCAATTTAATGCTGATTCCTTACACCGATAACAGCGATACAAAGAAGAGGACTTGAACTTCTCAAACAATTTGTCCATCAACCTTCACAGGCCATGGTTAGAACCAATGAATACTTTTTGATGTTGTTCATAACCTCGAGGAGAGTATGGTTTGATGTTGTTGGTGATTTCATTCGAAGGTTGATGGACAAATTGTTTGAGAAGTTGGCAAACTGAATTAGTTGACTGAATTATCAAATTCTAATAACTTTACATACCTTTTTGGGATTGAAGTATTGAGCAATAAACCAATTTGGTTTCTTTTACATTAGTTACATCGCCAATGGCAAACATATTTTTGAATGGTTGGTCGTTTTCATCTAAAACTTGTAAATGATTATTAACTTGGATGAAACCGTTCGAATCCAAACTATTTGGAAATTCGTCTCTTAACATTTCAGATTGTGGTTTCAATCCAGTGCACAGAAAACAAACATCACATTCAATATCAATGAATGTATTCAATTGACTATTCTGAATTCTAAAAGTTGTTGAATTTGATTGAGAAACAATCTCACTCCATAGGTGAATCTTTACATTTCTCATTGTTTCGAATACTTCACTAACTTTCTTACTTGCTTCTTCACTAGAAGGTTTCATAATTCTGTCAGATCTTTGAATAATATGAATAGTCTTTTCAGGATACTTTTCAGCAATAGAGCCTGCAATTTCACAGCCAACAAAACCTCCACCCACAATACAAATATCTTTCAGAGATGAGTTTCTGATAAATTCATGAGAATCGAGAATGCTTTGGGAATTGTAACAATTTACAAACTTGATTTGATTGTCAGAGCGGAGAGTTGGTAAATTGAAACGACATGTACATCCAGTACCAATCAATACGAAATCATATTCTATAGTTTCAGTGATTTCCTCAGTTGACTTGGAATGAATTCGATAATGAATGAGGGATTTGTCAATTTTTGAAACCTTTCCAGCAATACAATTTGCTCTTGGAAGAGTGTTTGCATGATTAACAGATAAATGTTCAGCCACTGCCTTATCTTTGACCATAAAAGGAAAACCAGGAGCAAAATCCAAAGCTCCGTTGAGATCAATAATTGTGACATCAAATAAATCTCTGATGGTTTTATCCTTACATGCAGTGTAGCCACCGAAACCACCTCCAACAATAACTAATCTAGGTTTCATTGAAAGTTTAAATAGGTTTCTGTCAATTTTGGAAGAATCGTTTGGTTTGAAAAGGTTTAGAACAATTGAAACTAAACCTTGCAATGGATGAAATAGTCCTAAATTGGATGTTTCAGCAATGGGTTCTATCCAATTCATAATGCACATAATCTTCACTACAAGATAGAATTGACTTTCAGAAATGTCAAAAGTCTTTTCCATTAAATCCATCAAATCACCCAAATAAAAGCAGTAATGTTGTAGTTGACCAAACCATTCAATTCTTCTTGAGTGCATTTTCAAACCACTTTCAAACCTTCTCATTCTGTAAATTGAGAATTCCTTCAAAACCTTGACAAACTCTCCATTCATTATTTCTTCAATTTGTTCTCTTGTCAAATTGGTTTCTGACTTTAAATATTCGAAACCCTTCTTGATTACTTCTTGTTGTGTTTGCATTTTTTTGTTTCTTTGTTTAATTGATCAATGGCTTTTGCTGACTTTAAAGAAACTGAAAGGTTGACTAAACTCCATGAACCCCAAATCCATTCGAAACGGAGAAATAATTGAAATGAACGCTTCTCAGAAAAATTACTTTTATTGAAAGTTTGTTTGCCAATGAAGTTGACTGACGAATAAAAGAGGAAATAATGTTGGATTGCAATGGAGTCCATTACGTATTTAACTTTATTCCAAACACCATTTTACCATTTCCATTGAAATGCTGCGACTCCTTTTTTAGTGTATTGACATTCTCAAGTGAGGCCAAGTGTTGGATTGATGTTGGTGAATGAACAGTAGGGCCGAATGATATAGAGAGGCATGTGAACTCAATAGAAGAGTTTGTAGTCTTAAGTTGTGTAAATTCAGTTGTGAATTTGGGAGGATTTGTTCAAAATCTCAAAATTCATTCTTTGAGAATTCTATGCTTTATTGAATGATTTTTAAGAAATGGAATATTGAATTTCTCTGAAGATTGTAAAATCTTTATTGTACAATAAATATGAAATGTTGCTTAGTGTGAAATGTTGCATTCCTTGATAATTTGCTCAGCTTCCTTTAGTGCTTGCTGTTCTGGAATGTGGTAGAGATTTTGAAGAGCTGAGGAAATTTCTTTTTGAGCTTGTTTTGAATTGACCTTTTCACATAATTTCACAATTTCAACAAGAGGAGATGATTTTCTTGGAGATGTTGGTGATGTACTAATAGTACTTGCTTCATTCTTAACACCTTCTTGCAAGGAGTGTGTTAAAACCTTCTCAAAGAAAGTGGTCTTGGAATTTGTTGAAACTCTTTCCTTTTCCTTCAATATTTCCTCAGAATCTTGTGCAGTTTGTTGAAGTGGTGTAAGCTTTGGGAAAGCCATTTCGTATTTTCCAACAAAAATGTTTCCAAATGTTTCACTAATTTCCTTTTCATGTTTTTCAATCCAACCAATGGAAGAACTATTTGTTAATTTGTAATGTTTGTTATTTACAATAAGAACAAGTGGTATTTGTCGTGAAAATACATGTTCATAGATGAGTTGAATAGTTGCCACATCATTCTTTGTAACTTTCTTATCGGAAATAACACAAATTAACATGTGAATTCCAAAATCTAATTTTTGAATGGTTTGTTTTAATTGTTTGTAGGCATTGAAGGTGGTAACAACTTGGTCAGTGATGGATTCACTCTCAGCTGCAAACCAGCCCAAAATATCGAATAATTCATATTCTATTCCATTGTATGAACAGTTGACACTAGAAATATTGGCATGAGCAGAAGTATCTCCAATTGTAAGAGAAGAATTGGTTATTTGGTTGATAATTGTTGACTTTCCAACACCTGTAGGACCAATAATGAGAAGTTTCTTTGTTTGAGTGGTGGCAGATGGCATTGTTTTTTTTGATGTGTTTTTGAAAAGATAACAAAAAGTGCGAACAATTTAAAAAGGATCTTTTTGAGTTGGGAACTTTTTTGGAAGTTATCACAATGTCTAAATTTTTACTAAAAGAGCTTAAGTGAATAAAGCAATCGAAAAATAAAAATGGTGTTTATTTACAAGGTTTTTATTTGAAGAAAATGTTGTATCTCATTGAGAATGATGGACTTGCTATTGGTGAGAGCCCTTCTTCTTTATCTGAAGGTAGAATGAGAGATGTCTCAGGGTCAAATCTTGGTAGGATGAAACTATCCACTAGTCCTTTAATCTCAGACTCATTAAGGAATGACTCTTCTTTGTTGACTTTTCTTATTGGTGTAACATGTGGCGTCTCAGTGATGTTGTTTCTCTCCATCAAGTCAAGAATAATATTATTAGCTGAGGTTAAATCACTGAGAGATTCATTCATTTCCTCATCAAGATCCTTCATTGTTGTCTCACCATAGAGTTGAATGTTAGAATCTACAATTTCTCTGCTGATTTGAGCAATCTCATCCTCAACAAAATGTTGATATTGAGACTTTACACTTCTCCTTAAAACTTAGGACAGATTATATTTACGTTAACTTACTTTGTCTCGCTATCGCTGATGGCATTCTTCAATTCTGTTTTCAATTGATCCTTAAAGGTGTCTTTCTTCTTATCCTTCTTTGTAAGGATTGGAGAAGGTAAGAGATCGACATTTTCCTTTTCCTCGTTCGTTTTCAAATTGTTGCTGGTTGATTGAACAATAATTGGAGGATCAACTGTTGAAACTCTTGATGATTTTCCTCTTTGGAATATCTTGGATTTTTCCTCAATAAACTTGTAAAGTGGAATGATGGTAATGATGATCATAATGTTTACACTTACATTTGTAATGTCCTTGAGTGACTTTCTCTTGGGTTTCTTCCTGACTGGAGTACTAATATCCTCCATGATTTCTTCCTTTGGTTTGTTGTCTTTCTTCTTCTTTACCTTCTTGATTTGAGGTTCTTCATCATCAAAGGCTTTTTTCCTTTTGTTAGATTTCAAAGATGACGAGGGAGGAGGTTGAATAGTTTCACTTGCTGATGGTAAACTAGGTGGTTGAGTTACTAATAGAGATTGAAAGGAAACATCATTAGATTGACTACTTGATGATTGAGTATTAATAGCACTTTGTGATGATTGACCCTTAATCTTGCTTTTAAATTGCTCAATTTTTGATTTTGGACCTTTCATGGTGGTGTTGAGTGTTTTTTTTAGGTTGACTTATTAAAATTTGGAGGGAAATTTATTTCTTCTTTGGAGGAGGAACAAGTGGATTGTATCTTTGCTTTACAGGTTTGATTGCTTTAACAGCATTAATCAATTCTTCAAAATTAAATCTATGAGGTTCCTTATTAAAAACTTCAACAAATGTATGATATAAATTGTCATCCAAATAGAATTTGTACATAAATCTAGCAAGATCCCTTCCTTCAGCCTTGTTAATATGTGTATCATTGGTTTCTCCTCTCATTAAAACAATTCCTTTGTTTTGAGCAAATTCCGTATAATGTGATAAAGACATTTGAGGTGAAGCCCATTCTCCTTTTTGTTTAAAATCTCTCATTGCAGTGAATAATACATGTTCCGTTTGGAATTGTAAGACAACTGTTTGAAAACCAATATTCTTGAAAACTGGTAAGACAAACATTGGACATTCCTTTGACCTGTGTTTTAAAACTTGATATTGAGAATATGGGACAACTTCAGCTAGAATATGTGGATTCATTTCGTGATGTTCTCTCCATATTCTTGTAATTGCTTCCGGACTTTCTCTCTCCACAAGTGGAACTTTAAGAATTTGATCCAAAGACTTTGGTCCTGGTGTAACAAATCTAACATTCTCTCTTGTTTGATTAAAAACTCCACATATTGATGATGTAAATTTTGTTTTAAGTAATTTTGATGATGATGTTTTTGATTGAGTGAGACCAGCCACCGATGGTTTTACTAGTGATTTTGTGATGTTCTTCAACATTTTTTTAAATTGTTGTTCCTATAAATAATAATTAAATTATTGTGATGAAGTTAATAAATATAATAATTAAAATATTTGCTAATTGTGTGTAGGTTATGAATAATAAACTCATCAACAAAGCCAGGCTTGAATATTAAATCCATCAAAATATTATTCCATAACACTGTTGTTACCTGTTCACCAAATCCAAATATTATTTCTCCACTTTTCCATAACGTACATTCAAAGGTGCTTGTTGTTTTGTTATTTAATGAAGGGACCAACATTTGAAACACACAAGTGGAGATGATTCTTACATGGATTCCCAACAGTGTTGTCTATTGAGTCTCTTGTATTTTGACCTTTTTGTAATACAATTCAACAGCCAAGACTTAAGAGGCTCTTGGTATTTGTAACAGACATAAAAAAAGCGGTACTTTGAAAAAAAAATTGTGGTGTACAGATTCGGTACCGTTTGCGCTTCTCTCTCCACCGAATATTGTATATTCATTCTGTTATTGTTGTTGTTATAATATCATCATCATACAATTAGTTTTTGTATATATAATTAATTTTCCATCATCAAAAAATGTCTGACCATAACGACGAATTCTTCGATGAAGAAGAAGAAGAATTACACGAAAATGAAGCCTTCACAAGTATTTGGGATCTCGTTCCTGGTTATACCCAATCACCACTTGATTCCATGCTTGAAAATGAAGAGAATACAACTCTTGAGCAAGTTTTGGATGAAGATACTATCATTCAAGAATTAAAGTCAGCAAATCATAAAGTCATCGCTTTCCTTAGCAAGGACGAGAATATTGACAAGCTTATACAATACATCATCACCGAAGAATATTTGCAACCAGGTCAAACATTAACATCAGCAGATCTTGAAAGAGAAGAAGAGGAATCACTTAAAAGAACTTACAAATATCCATTCATCACTTCAGAAATTTTCAACTGTGAGAACGAAGAAATTATTATTCCTATTGTTAAAACCAAAGAAAGAACCATTAATCTCTTCTCCTACCTTCTTAACAAGGATGAAAACAAGACACCAAAGAATCCATCTCTTTCCCAATACTTTGTTAAAGCTGTTTCAACCCTTTTGCAAAAGTACTATAAGGACATTGTTGATTCCTTGATGGATAAGCACAGCGAAGAGTTTAACATTTTAAAGTTATTTTTCACAGAACACATTGGATTATGTGATATGGACTCTCTCATCTTGAGAGTTTTAGGATTCGAAACATCAGAAGATAGCTTTGATCAAGATGCTTTTGGTGGATTTGCTACACAACAAAGAATTCGTGAATTGTTCTTAATGAAGCAAAGAGGAAATGATCAAGAACTCCAACAAAAGAGAAAGCAAGTTAGAGAGTGGGCACTTAATAATAACTTCTTTGATTTGATTTTGAAAAAGCTCGAACAAAGTTTAGATAATGAAGAAGTTCAAAGAAATACCTTCAGTCTCCTCTCCCAAATTGTAGAAAAGGGATACAATAATTCCAACGAATTGACAATCACCTTGTTATCTGAAAAACATTTGAATACTATTTTGGATATTATTTTTAAGAATTTGAACTCCACGATATTGGTACACGCAATACCTTTCTTACGTGTTGTTATCTCCGCCAATGAAGATTCAGAGGAATCCGATGCTGACGAATCAGATGACGAGACTGTTAATAGGGGTTCTAGCCATATCTTCATTTCCAAAGTCATTCCAATAATTCTCTCCCGTACAAAACAATTCCTTTCTCTCCTTAATGATACAGAGTTTGTTTCTAACATCTCAAAGCTTGAACTTTCTCATGCTGTTTTGGATCCACCACTCGGTGAAACTAGATTGAAGATTGTTGAACATTTACTTACAATTTTCAAAGTTACACAATCTAATACTGAATATCAAAAAGAATTAGCTTCTCTAGGTGTTATGGGAGTTCTTATTGATTTATTCTTCAAATATGAATTCAATTCCATGCTTCACTGTCTTGTTTTTGATATGATCAAGATTGTTCTCACAGGAACTAATTCAGAAATGAAGATGTCTCTTTTGGTTGATACTGAATTATGTCAAAAGATCTTAAAGGCCCATGAAAAGAATAAGGCTGTTATTCAAAAACCAAAGGGTGCTAGCTTAGGTTTGATGGGATTTGTCATTGAAATTTCTAATTTACTGAAGAAACTCAGTGAAATTAATCCTGATATTGCTAAGCATTTGTCCTCCATTGAAGGATGGAAAGAATTTACCTCTGGATTTTTACAAGAGAGAAATATCCAAAATGAAAAACAATTAGGTGGACCAGTTCCAATTGGTACTTTTGGAGGTGCTAGCTATATGGGAGAAGATGATGACGATGATGATTATGGTTATGATGAAGATGATAGTTCAGACTCTGATGAAGAAGTTATCGTAAGAAGAGGATCCGATTCAGACTCTGATGAAGATGATGATGGTGAAGTCATTAGAAAACACTATTAAATTGTAATTTCAACCTTATAAAATTTTAAACTATCAATTATTGTAGATTTTCTAAGAATAACTGAAAAACCTCAATACAACAACCAATTTTGATTTCCCTCCAAAAAAAATGTCATCAGCAGATATCTATGTAACGACTAGTGATTTGAAGAAGGATTATATGGCCTTCAGTTTCATGTGTGATAGACAACCAAAGGAAGAGGTAATTTATGGTATTCATCACTTTATTGAGGGAAAGGAAAATATAACTACTAAGGAAGAAGATACTCCACCTCCTGCTTCCGAAAGAGAATATCAAGGAATTTCCGATGAGGAAGATGAACAAGATAATGAAAGCAAAAAACAGGCATCATTGGAACTTTCTGAAACTGATAAAAGAAATAATGTTTTAAAAAGGATGCAAGTGGATAGTTTTTCAGATCTTGACTCGGAAGAAGCTTCAAAAATTCAGACAGAAATTGTTATTTACAGATCGAATCCTCGGTTGGACATTGTGGATATGGTTTCTCTTTCGAAATCTATTACATTTGTTCCGTTTGATTTTGTTAATCTCAAGTATGTATTGAGTAGTTGTTTATTTCTAAAACATTTTTGTTTAGATTGATTTCGTGTGGATTGAGTTCGGCTTCTCTACGAGTTCTTGGCCTAGCCCTAACTCATAAAAAGACTTTGAGATATTTGAGTGTGGAAATGAACCCTCTAAAAGAGACTCATGAGGCTAGAGATGATAAATTAATGCACGATATTCCAGCTCTTGGAAAGCTCTATAATACTATCCTTCCAAGAGTGAAAGAGGAACCTGAGGAGGAAAAGAAAAAAACAGTAAAAAAGGATAAAAAAGCAGAGGAAGTTTCACCAGAAGTTAAATCATTCCTGGAAAAGTATTGTGGACCAAATTCGAGCCCATTTGCTCCATTATTCATGACAAGTGCCAAATATCTATCACTGAGAGGAAACAATCTTTCTGATGATGACGCTGTTTGTATTGCGGAATTACTGAAAAGTGACAGTGAGATTTTCTCCCTTAATTTATGGGGAAATCGTATTGGAGATGTTGGAGGAGTAGCTCTCGCTAAGAGTTTGAGAACAAATCAAAAATTGCTTTCACTAAGCTTGGCTATGAATAGAATTGGAGATGAAACATTCATGGAAATATGTAAAACAATGGCTCCTCTTGATATTTATGATGAGAATGAGTTCCAGACAATCAGAGAAAATGCCTATTTGAGTTTTTATGGAGCTCAAAATATACAAAGAGATCAAAGTACCAATTCTCTACTGATACCAGCAGTTCCTCCTCATTTACAACCTCCTGAAACTAATGATAAGAAAAAGAAACCACCATCCAAACCAGTCAAGGTAAATCCAAACGAGAAGGAACTGATAGAATGGGACAGTAAAACATCTCGATATACCTATGAAGAAGTGGTGGAACCACCAAAGACATTAGGTGTAAAAACTGCCTCTAAATCCAATTCCAAACAAAATGTTACAACTGTTACTGAACCAAAGGTCGCTGAGCCTCTAAAACCAATTTACAAAATACCTGGAAATAGCTTATTAAGAAATATCAATCTGAGTGCTAATATTGACGTAACAGATGATGGAGCTCAATACTTTGTTGACGCTCCAATAGGCATCAGTTCAAATCTATGTAGAATATCTCTCAGTGATACCTCTGTTTCATTGCCAGTCTTTGAAAGACTTGTCAGTAAACTTCTTTCTGGCAAGGAAGAATAAATTTCACAAATATTGTAACGAAACTGCAATTTTTCTTACATTCCTAATAGGCAAGTTCTCCTTATAGAGAGAATACCGAAAAAAAATGAAAAATTCATCATCTTCCTCACTACACTCTCTGAATTCAGAGCAGACAATCGGAAGACAACACGAAGAAGGTTTATCGACCAGTTCCGAACAGGAATTATATAATCGTCCCGTAGGAGGAACAGAATTTAATGCAGAGTTTAATAATATTAGTAATTTATCAATTGTGGAGATGGATCAAATGATTGAACATTTTAAAAAACAAATTTCCTATCTGGAAAAACAAAGAGAAAGAAAGATTACGGCCATGTGTGGAAAGAATGTTGGCTCGTCATTAAATTTCTCGTCCATTATTAAAATGTACATTCAGAAAATTGTGCCTAATGCCTTTTCCGAATCGAGATTTTATAATTTATTTATGGTGGAATTGTTGGAAATGGTAATAACTCAGACAATTGTTCTGTTTGGAGTTGTTTGTTTTTGGAGGGGTATTTGGGGTTTGGCTGATTTTTATATTCATTATGAGGATAATAATAGTACTTTGAGACTTGGGTGGACAACTTTAATGATTGGAGTGGTTGGTTCATTTATTACTCAAACAGGTTCTGTTTTGGTTACTAGATTGGGAATATTAAATTTACTGGTTTCAAATTTTGAAAGTGATGCCAAATTGGAGACTGCTCAGGCATCTTACTCTGCAGATAGAGGGACAACTTCTCAAGTTGGTAAGAAGCATGCAAGTTTGTGGATTCGTCTTGCCATGAAGCTCTATACCTATATTGTTGCCATCTCAATTATTTTGTGTTGGAAGGGATCTTGGATGGTTATGGATGGATATTTTGAGAAATGGTTCAAAGATACATTTGTCACTAATTGGATTTCTCATATTATTGCTGCCCTAGTTTTGATTTGGTTCTATACATTCAGAAGTGTTTTGTCACCAGCTTCTATGGATAGAGAAAATCATTTCGAATCACTTATTGTTTCAAAGTGGAGTGGTTTGTCAAGACCACTCGTCAAGGAATGGGCCAAGAGCTTTATTTCTAAAAACAAGGATTTTGCAGAAAATGCTTAGAGTTTTACCCATAGTGATCTAGAGATCATCGACACTACTCTCTGCATTTCCTGCATTTCTTAGAATACTTTTCATTAATAAATCAAAGCTTTGAGAATCTTTTCCATTCACAAACTCCTCTGCATTATTAAGAACCAACGTAGCTCTAGAATCCTTAACCATCTGATAAGGATGTAAGACATAAGATCTAATGGTATTTCCACCGAATTGGTTTGCTTCACTCTCAAGTCTGGCAACATCTTTGATTTCTTTCACTTTTTTCACTCTTTCTATTTCTTGGAGTCTGGAACGAAGCTGATTGATAGCTTGATCCTTGTTTTGATGTTGTGATCTTCCTGCAATACATTGAACTTTAACACCAGTTGGAATGTGTGTGATTCTCACACCAGATTCTGTCTTGTTGGCGTGTTGTCCACCCTTTGTCGCTGTTTGAAGAGTAAACTAAATTATGATATTACGAACTTACCAGCCCTTATTGTGTCTATTTTCAAATCCTTCTCGGGCAATTGTTGAAATATTGAGCTAGTATCGTCTCCATCTGCTGCAGGGTATACTCGAACACTGCTGAATGATGTCTGTCTTTTATGCTAATCGTGGTTGAATATTAAACTCAATATTGGATACTTACATCGGCATTGAAAGGTGACAACCTGACAAGCCTATGGACGCCTTGCTCATGCTTAAGATATCCATAGGCATATCTTCCAGATATGAACAATAAAGCACTTCTTATTCCTGTTTCCTTGAAAGAAGTGTCTTCCAATGTAACCTCAAAGGAAGATAATTCAGAACCTCTTAAACAATTTATATACATATTCAATAACATTTGAGACCAGTCAGATGCATCCTCTCCACCAGCACCCGTGTGAATTTCCAAATAACAATCCTTTGAATCATGTGGACCAGACAAAAATGACTCAATTTCCTTTTTTTCTAAAACATTTATCAGATCACTCAACGATTTTTGAATATATTCAATCATTTCCTTATCATTTTCCATTTCAGAGAGCTTTAATAATTCCTCATTATTGTTGATATCAGCAATAGTGTTATCAATAAAATTCAACTGATCTTCCAACATATTTTGCTTCCTAATAATATTTTGTGCATTAGAGTCACTCCAAAAATCAGGAGAACTTGTCACCTTCTTTAATTTTGAATATTCATCTTGAATAGAATCTCTATTCCAATTATGAATTATATTTGAATAGATTGTTCTTGCACTTTCAATCAGTGCATTGTTACTAATAATATTATCGGAACATAATTTAATATTTTGATGATAATTCCTCCTCGGAGCCTGTACACACTCCATCAAGCTAAACCTATTTTTGCAGCAACAAGTTTTCTGCAATGATCTTCTAAGAATCAATTTGTACATTTTTTTAAATATAATATTTAATAAATATTATGATGATGAATATTATAATAATAAATATTAATAATTATGTTCAGCTTTCTTCATCAGAAGACTGTTCACTACCATTAGAATTAAAATAACTATTATTAGGATTATTTAAAAGTTTCATCAATTGAGCCAAAGTAGTAACATGTGAAACTTGAATAATGGCAAATATTATATCGAATAAACACAAATAAATAACAAATAATCCAGGATGATTATCGAATAGAGTAATAGATTCCGAATCAATTCTAATTGCTTGTTGACTTTCATATACTTTCTTTTGTAAAATAATATCCATAATTTGCTTCACTTCTTGTTGATTCGTTTTGAATTTCATATCAAAGTGTTTCTCAATAATTTGATCCTGTTCTGTTTCAATAATATTTTGATCTGGAAAGTAAACTCCAACTTTAACATTATCAAAAATCTTCTTCTTACTAGTGAAGAGATTTTCCTGCTCGAAAAAGTCAATCAATTCAAAGTATTCATTCTCCTTCTTGTAGAGTTTTGAACGTCTGTAGTAATTTTCATTGCTCACATAATTTGCAATATGAATATAGAGGAGAGGTAAAACAATGATCAGCACGAGAGAAATCTTCTTCTTCAAATTCATATTCTTAAAGACTCTACCGAGGATGGTTGGTTGGGTGGAATGAACAAATGAATAGTACATGAGCATACTTTGGAAAACTCTGAGACCCAGAACGAATATCGAATCATCAAGATAGAAGGAATAAATTCCCTCTATCAGAAGGATCCTATTGGTAAAATGTACAGATTCATAGAGTTCTTTTCGTAGAGTATTGTTTTGATTATCCATTGTGATGTGATTATCAAATTGATTAGAGGGATCAGAATTGGAAAGTGGTGATTCAAGACCTGATGATGAGTTTTCGGAATTATCTTCCATGTCAACAATGTGATGATCTTCATCACTGTTTGGATGGAGAACAATTCGATGATTAATGGAGGGATGTTGTGATGACATTTTTTTGAAAATCAATTATTTGCAATATTTATTTAATATTTAATATAAATAATATTTAAATTAATAATTAATTTTTGGATGGTCTAATTGAAACTTCCAAATCATCATCGGATTCATCACTAAGAATTTCTGCCATTTGAACTATTGGTTTCTTGTTACTTGGTACTTCTGATCTATTTGGATCATTGGTTGTAAAGAATGGTAAAAAGTATTCCTTATCTAACTTGTCAATGGATGATTCTTCCTCATTGTGGTCCAGTGTTGGAATTTCTCTGGTTGGAGTGTTTGAATTATTGCTTTCAGTGTCATTTCTATACAAGTATCTGATAAGTGGTGAGATACCTCCCCCAAAAACGAGAATTGACAATAACACGACCACAAGAGTTGTGGTTACTATGGTATTTTTGTATTCTGTTTCAGTAAGACTCAATGCAAGGGCAAGAGAAATAACACCACGCATTCCACACCATGTCAATATAAGTTGTGAATTTTTAGATATTTTGGCATCGAAAAAGTTATTGAGAATGTATGTAATTGGGAAAATATTTGCAATTCTTCCTAAAATGCAAAGAATAATTGCCAAGAAAATCATTCCAAAGTGGAATCTATGAGTGTAAGTAAATGTTGCTAATCCCAGATATAAAAATACTATTGTCTCACAAATGTATGAGAACATCATTAGGGCCTGATCGATGGTAATACTAGTTTTCTTACTCAAATTGAGTCTCGTATAGTGACTGTTCACAATTGAGGATGATAGCAGAGCAAGGATTCCTGATAATTCCAAACCTTCAGATAAAAAGTAAGGGAGAACGGAGGTGATAACCATTAGGGTAATTTCCAATGAAGGATATTTGTAAAATTGGAGGTATTTAAAGATTAATGCAGAAAGAAGAGCGATCACCACTCCAATAATTAAAGATCCAAAGAATGACAATAATAAATGGTTCATAAAGCTAATGGCGGATGAAGAGAATGAAATGGTTTTCGCTGATGGAAATCTAGCATATGTATCAAAGGATCTAAATAAAAGCATTGCTGCAACATCGTTCAATGTACTTTCTCCAAATACTAAAATAGATATTTTACCAGTTCTCTTCTCCCCAAAGTCTTCCTTAATTCCACTGAATACTGTTAAAGCAGCAATAGGATCCACACTAGAAATAAGACTTGCAAATGCAAATGAATCAATCCAAGGTATTATCCCAAATATTCCAATTCCTATACCGATTACTAATGTAGATATAATTGTTCCAGCTATTGCATACCATAGAATACTAATAATATTTCCAAAGAAGTTTCCTTTTGATAAATTATACCCAGACTCGAAAATAATAGGAGGAAGTAAAAAGAGGAAGAAAATGTCACTTTCTAATTTAAAAATGTTTCCACTTTCAATACCAAAGTAGCTAATAACTAAACCCATTATCATTCCGATAGCTATTGTAATTATACTATCGGGAAGAAAATTAATTTTAAATTGAAGAAAGAAATAAGTAGCAAAGATGATGACCAGCATGGTTGCAGTTATGAGAAAAACATTCACCGATTCTTGCCTACTTTCGTTACTTGTATTTACAGGTTGTGGTGGTGTGGTTTCTGGTTTCTTTTCTGTAGCTGGTTTTTCTTCTTCTCCGAAGACAGCACTGCTTTGTACGAAGAGTATACAAGCAATCAGCAGTAGCACAACAAGAGTGAAGAGAATCCTCCTACTGTATTGCATTGCCATTTTTTTGAAGAGTTTTATTATATAAATTATTACGAATTACAAATTCGAAACAAGACACACTGTGGATTTGTGGTTTGACCTCTCAATTTCTTAGCTTGTTTTGAGCTGATTGTTCACAAGTTACAAGTTGACTGTGTCTGTTAAAATTTAAGCAACGAATTTTGAGAGAAGTTTCTTTCTTCATCCTTAAATGAGCATCCCGCCAAAATTAAAACTACAGTTATTATTCTGCCGTTAAGTTGTCTCGAAACATTTTAAAAAAATTAGAACGAGTGTATTGTTGGCGTGATGACTGATACTGATCAACAACTTCCCTCATCATCAAACAATACAGGGGGTGAAGGTTTTACAAGTCCGGAAGATGAATTGGATTGGGGAACTCTTTGTTCTCCAAATGGTTTGGAACATGAATTGATGACTTATGCTCCTTTAAAAAAGCTTTTGAACACAATTATTAAGAAAGTTTCATCACAAGATAAAAAACTTAGCTCTGTTGATGATAAAGTCTCGGACGCTGCAAAGCAAGCTTTGGATGCAAATGAAAAAGCTAAAAAGCTGAAAAGTCAGATAGATGCTTCAGAGCAGGAAAAGATGGGTGATAAGGAAACGAACGACCTAAATGCTAAAACAGAAGCAGAGAAACATGAAAAGAGGCATAAGGATTTAATGGACAAAATCGGTGATTTGGAAAAACAATTACAAGATTTAAAGAAGCAAAATGAAGATTTAAAACATAAGAATTCAGAATCCGAAGACAAGTTAAAGAGATTAGTTGGAGATGCATTAAAGACAATGCAAACAATGAGTCAAATACCTCCTCAACCAACAAACACTAGTTCAGATGATGAAAAAAGAAACATTACAAGTAGTTCCAACAGAAGACCATTTACTCCAGAAGAGAACAAGAGAAACATTCAAGATGTTGAGGTGTTTAGTACCCCTGAGGTTGAAAAAACTGTACAACTCTACAAACCAGCAGATGATGAAGATAATAGTACTTTGCAATCAGTGATTTTGTCTCTTCCAAAACATGGTAAGGTAACCCAATTTGATGACGAGGCTTCACCAACAGATGACATGTCAAATACTGATACTAATACTTCCAACAAACCAAAGAGTAGACCTACCTCTACAGCATCAGGTAAAAGAGGAAAAGATCTCAAAGATAGCAAGGAAAGACCTCCATCATCACCTCAAAAGAAGATTAACTTTGCTCCAGCAGCTGTCACAGATCCTAATCATAGAATTAATTTTTCAGCAGACACTCAAACAGAAGGTGTTGTTGATCCATTCAAGTACAATGTTTATGATGTTAAAAATGATTTGGATAGAGCTCAAGTTTCTAGGGTAAAGGGAGTGTTATTGTCACAACTAAATGATTTGCAAAGAGAATTGGATGATGCAAAGAAGAAGGAAAAGGATGATGTTGATTTGCTTTTGGATCAAATTCTAGGTATCAAAAATCAAGTCAATTCTATTAACAAAAAACTGGACTTGGCTCAAAAATTAAAGGGACAAGATAAGAATACATCCACCGATAATCTTTATGAAGAAGGCTTGCTTGACGTTCAATTAGATGAAGGTAAAAATGTTAAAGTATTCATTCCACCAAAAACTGAAGAATTGGATTCATCAGTTACTGATTCAATTAATGAATTACTTGGAAAGATTGATTACTTGGAAAATAGGTTAGCTGATGCAACAAGGAGAATCGACGATTTGGAAAATAGACCTCAACCAGCCTTTTTTGATGACCACGAAGAATTAGAGAAACCAGAAAAATCAAATACACCTTTCATGAATACAAGGGAAACAGTGGATGCATCAACCTCTCCATTCCAAAAGAAAAAGGAAGATACTGACAACCGAACAGGCACTCCTTCCGAAAGACCTGAATCAAGCAGTGATGATTTTGTTAGCAATAAGGACTTGAAGAAACTGGAGAAGAAGCTCATGTATTACATTACAACACATGATATGTCCAATGATTTGAATAATCAAATTCAAGAGCTAATCAAGCAATTAGAGTCAGTAGAAGATAGACTTGCTCAGAAATGTGACATCGCTTCCACTCCGAATCATCAACAATTTAAAGACATTGAAGACATGGTTTTGAAAAAGGCAGACAGAGAGGAAGTACATAACATGATTGAAAAGCTTAAGAATGATTCTGACAAACAACCAACCATCGTTCAAAGACCATTCTCTCCACAAGAGGACAGAAACCCATCTTCACCGAACACTAAGGTTGAATCATCAGGAATTGATCAAGCTGATTTGAAGAAGATTAAGGATGCTTTGAACAATTTATCTTCTCAACTCTCACAACTTTCCAAGATGAAAGCAGACAAGATAGATGTATTTAAAGAACTTAGTGAGAAGAAGGAACAAATTGATAGACTGGATCAAACCAAGTCAGATGCAAATATTGTTGCCAGAAAGGCTGAAAGAGAATATGTTGATTCATTATTTAACAAGTTGAAGAAGGACTTGGAAAACTCAATTTCCATGACCAATACTCACACAGCAGACCTTTTGGCAAAAGATCTCGAATTCCTGAAAAGGTTGATCGAAGATAAGGCTGATAGCGATGAAATAAGAAGGATTAAGGAATACCTAAACCAAGCATTTGATAACAAGACTGAAAAGGATGGAGATGGCCTTGCATCTAGTCAAGCTTTCAAATGTCTCTCATGTAATAGAGCATTGAAAGGAATGAAGATGAGACCACAATCTCTTAACTTTGATAATTTTATCAGTCACTTACCACCTCCAAAACAAAAAGTCAATCCAAGAAAACAATTTTTGAATGACTCTCTGACAAAATCGTCTGTTCAAATTCCTTCCTCAATACTAGATGATGGAAGAAAGAATAGGTCTGCAGCAGAACATTTACCAGAACTTAAAAAGTCTGGAACTGCTGCTAGTAGTAATTTGTAAATAAAATCTCTAAGTATTGAATTATTATTTACGGCAGAGTCAATGATGAAATGAATCACATTAAGATGGCTAGAAATAAAATTTACAGAAAAGGGAAAATTAGGGGCAAAGGTAGGTATGGTTTAATTTACAAATTCATTACATTACAGATTAATTACACAAGTCCTCAAAATACATTTCCGAGGAGTTTCAATAATAAATCTACTTCTTTAAATTTTCTTTGATTAATTGTTTTAAATTTTGTAATTCTTGTTGTACTTCCAGTCTTCCTTTTCTTTCTTCGTCTAAACTCTTTTCAAGCATTTCTATTTTTTTCTTACTCTCTTCATCTAATGCACTCCTGTTGGACCTATTGGACAAATTGGAGCGTTGAGAATTGATTGAATTATTCGATTTATAGGACTTTACCGAAGATCTAGTGGAGAACATTTCATCTTCATCTTGTTGGGATCGCTGAGAGAAGTCACCACCATTCTTTTTTCTATCTACAGGGGATAACAAATGTGGAAGTCCTTGGGATTTAAATCCTGGAGGAACATTTGAAGGAGCCTTAGAATTATTCATTTCTCTTGCCAAAACATAAGAATTAATAAAACTGAGAGCAGCCTTATCCTCGTGAACGCATCTTTCCTTCCATGCTTGAGCTTCTCTAATATGATTCGACATTGTTTTCTATTCCGTAGTGCTACTGCAATATAATAAATTAAAGAATTTGTGTCAGCTCAATGAGAGAGGTTGAAAAAACAATTGTTGTTATTTTTTTTGAGTTGTTCATGAAGCCAAGCTGTAGATGCCTTCTAAAAGAGAAGTCATTCAAGCGAGCGAGCCACACACTGCAAGAGACAAAAATAATAGAACATCACAACCACTTGAATGTTGCTTCTCGCAACAACGAGAGTTGATTTTTGCCTGACTCATCTCAATCCATTAAAGGCTTCGTTGATTGCCTACTGGAGTGGAGTTCCATAGAGTCAATTAACATTGAAGGCTCCGTAAGAGAGATATTATTTGACCACCAGAGAATGGTATTGTCTCTATTAATTGATGATATAAAGTTGATGGATGTTGGTGTTTACAAAATATCTCATAACAATATAGATTATTAGATTTGTAATATAAATTACACTTGAAGGAGAGTATTGAATGGTGAAATGAATGGCTTATTTTGGATACTGATCAATGTATTCAAATATGGACAAGAGTTTTTTCTTTTATGAATTGTTGCAGAGTTTTAAACATTTCACAATTCAGATAATGAAAATCAAGCTATGGTTATTTAAATTGTTGTAATCTTGGGACTGTTGCTATCCACTTAAAGATTACCTCTAAAAAGGAACAAGTCCTCCAATAGCAACTAACCAAGTAGTTCCTGTGCTATCTTCGAGAATGTATATATATTCGAAAGGAAGTAAGTGTGATGTTACCAAATCGATTAACCTTCCGTCTTTAGATGGTTCCCTCATTGAGTTCATTCAAAACAAAAAAATGTCTAATCCACTCAATTCATTTCGAATGGGAACTCAATCATCACCAACAACTGCACAAAAAACCAATACTGTGAATATGCTAAGTGAGAATGAACAATTTCCTGTGGAGATTAACACTGCCTCAGAAATTGAGAGTTCTACCTTCAAAAGTCAATCAGAAGCAAGTCCTACTGCAAATGAACAATCTCCCTCTACAGTTTCTAAACTCAAAAGCTTTTTCAAAAAGAGAAGACACTCCACACCCAATAATTCTACGTTAACCACTGAAGAACCAAGCATTAATAATCGTACTAGTAGTGAACAAACTCCAACCTCACCAGCATTCACATTTCAAAACGATAAACTCTCACTCCATGTAACTTTCAAAGAGGATCACAACAAGCAGAATAGAATTCGCTCATCACCAGTTCCTTTGTCAACCCTCAATGCAATTTTAGCTTCAAACCCTCTCGATGAAGCATTTGAGAATCTGCAAGGAGAGAAATCCTCTCCCAACGATAATAAGGCAAAGAGTAAAAAACCGCGGCATAACTACAGTAAATTCTCCAGGAGGAAGAAGAAACATCACCTCAATCAAGAAGGGGAAGGAATGAATGATACTAATACTCTTATGGAACCTCCTACTACGTAGTAATTTAATAATCAGTAGTGGCGCACAGAATTGTCGAACAGCCGATCCATTATTTGAGGACATGCTTCGAAATCCGACCCAAGTATCTTCTTCAGCCACCAGCAACGACACTTCATTTGCCTCTAATTTAAAAAAAACAGAACCTCCAACTTCAACAGCTATTGTTCCCAACAATAATACATCACCACTCCATCAAGGCGATCAGTGTATCAATTTCGGAGCAGCAACAACAAACAATATAGTAAATTGTACTACAACAACAAATTTGAGAGGAGGAACTCAACAAACAATTGCGATGGCAATGGATAAAGTTGAACCTGTTTCAAGTGGTTTTGGTGTTGGATTGGTTGATACGGAAAATTTTGTAAATACAAAACAAGTTGGCAATCAGAGAATGATTTCGACAACCACCTCTCCTGTGGTTATTAAAAAAGAAGGAACCAAACAATTAGATAACATGATTGAGGATTTTCTATTAACTAAAAGTTCAAGTTCGACTGCTCATGACGAAATTACTCCAAATAGAAATGCAATTATTGAAGAAGAGGAAAGTAGTGATGAGGATTATAGTGACGAGGATAACAGTGACCATAGCGATGAAGAATCTAATGAAGAAGAAGAAAGATCTTCAGAATCTGAAGATCTTGAGGAAACAAAACCAAATTTAGATACTAGTACGTTGAGTCAAACAAATAATGAGAATCAAGCAGGAACTGATGTAGATGATCCTCTAGCTGTTAAAACAATGATTTCACCTCAAGATTTACAAACCATTTCATATGAGGTAAATGAGAAATTGAATGAATCTGTACAAAAAGAATTCGATCTCAGTAAGGAGGAACAAGTATTGGATTCATTCTTGTGTGCCTACTATGAAAGCAAAATGCCTCAACAAGGTAAAATGTACATTACTCAAAATTACATTTGTTTTTCATCCAATATTTTTGGGTATAAGATTTGTGTAAGTATTTGGAAAGTAGATTAGTAATTAATTATTATCAAATTATTATCAGTTAGTTATTTCTTTCAGTGATGTTAAAAGCATTGAAAAAAAGATGACAGCAATGATAATTCCTAACGCTATTGAGATTTTCCTTAAAGATGGTTCTTCACACTTTTTTGGATCGTTTGTATTCAGAGATAATGTTTACAAGGTTTTACTTGCCCTTTATTCATTGCATGCAAAGGCAAGAGGAAACATTTTAATAAGTCTTCGATCAGCTAATAATGTCTTGCAAGCTGTTAATACTCCTAACATCAAACCACCAAATCTCACTACCGATTCTTCCTATGTCACTGAAGAGGATGACAATGAAGATGAGGAAGAAGAGTTAGAAACTGAAGATGAAACTGAAGAAGAAGATGAAAGCGAAGAAGAAGAGAATACCTCCGAGAGTGATGAGCCAATTGTAATCAATAAGGTTACAAATATTCCAGTCGAATCTATGGCAAAAGGTGCTGCCGATACCAACCAATCCCAACCAAAAGCTAATGGAGAGGCCTCAAAGAGCAAAGCTAATAATGGAGGTGAGGAAAAAGAAAATGGAAATCAAACTAATGGAAATAATGAAGAAAAGAGAGCAAATGATAACTCAGAAAATAATAATGGCAACAATAATGGAAACAACCCAAACAATAATCAAAACAATGCTCCGAATGGAAATGGAGAAGAGCAAGAAGAAGAGGAAGAAGAAGAAGAATGTCAGCTGCCAGAAGAGGAAGAGAAAATAACTGGAATTAATGATCTTCCTGGTGGTGAATTCTTTGCTGATCCAGACAAATTCAAACCAAAAGAAATTGCCGCAGAAGTACTTCCAGTCAGTATTTTTGATGCTTGGTTCTTGCTTAAATCAGATAATACCAACTTCCAACTCGAACATCACAAGTCCAGAGAAGAAACAAGTGTACAATATTCTTCATATGTTAAACTTGCTGGTTCTCCTGGCTTGATGAGAAAGGTGGCCTTCATAGCCAAAGTTAATAACTCCCTTGGGCCAAAGAGTACTAGAATTGAATGCGTAGAAAGAGCTGTTCTCTGTAAAGGAAAGAAGAGAATAATCAACCAAACCTCATCTAGTAGTTTAGATGTTCCATTCAGTGATACATTCAAAATTCAAAACTATTGGATTTTCGAGGATATCGATGGAAAGTCTTGCACTCTTAAAATCTATAGTGGAGTTCACTTTTTGAAATCATCCCTCCTTAGATGGAAAATTGAAGATGCTGGTGATAAGGAATCAAAACAGGCCTTAACTGTTTGGTTAGCTCAAGCTAAGGAAGCTGTTGCTAATGCCAAATCAGCTGGTAATTTGCATTCCCTCAAAAAGGGAAAGCCTCGTAAAAAGAAGGCAACTACCAAAGATACAAAGAAACGATCAAAGAGAAAGACTTCAGAAGTTAAACCACAGGCTACTGCCGTCGCTTTTGCAACTGAAAATCCTTTTGCAAGTACATCTGCTCCAGCACCTGAGATTGAATTAGATTTAATGACTAAGACTCTCAATTTTGTGTTTGGAATACCAGGGTATCTTTCTGCTAACATCACTTTACCTGCCTGGCTGTTACTAACTGTTATAATAGCCTTATTATTCTTACTATTTTCGCAGCAATATACAATCATACAGACAATGAAACAAGTAGAATATAATGTACAGACCTACAAACAACAGACAATACTTTTCGAACAAGAACTTAATCATTTGGTATTCAATTTAGCTAATGTTAATGCAACAGCATTGTCAGAAAACAGTCAGAACCTACAAAATCAAATAGCTAATTGGTTGACTGCAAGGAATGAGCTCTATAAGATGCATATAGACAATGACTTGCTGCATTCATTACTGTATGAGTTATCTGAAATTAAGAAAATTATGCACAAAAAAGATGGGAATGGTTGAATAAACGACTAAGCAATGAGTTTTATCCAGTCTTTTTGTGTTCCTTATGCTTTTGATAGGAAACAAATATATCATACATTAAACCAATGAAAACAATAAGAACACCAGACCATTGAACGCCAGACATGTGGTGACCAAAAGTGAAAACAGACCACAAAATGGTAAAGAATTTTCTGGTTGTTGTAATGATAGAGAGCTCAAGAGTTCCAAAACTTGCAATGCACCAAAAGATGAAAATTTGTCCAAGAGCCATAGTAATACAGAAGATGGCAATATGTTGAATAATCTCTGGATGATTCATACAGAATTCAACTGCTGGGAAGAATTGACCAGTATAAAACATAGCAATACCAACAAAAATACTGGCATATAAATTCATATTAAGCATCAAGTCATCACTTGTTGGCTTATGTTCCAATGTTCTCATAAGATCTTGAATAGAGTTTGTGAAACCATCAGCTGCCAATGAGACAATCAATAATAATAATCCGTAAGTGTTGTTCTCATTTTCACTGTCTTCCTTGTGCTTATGTCCAAATCTATCAATCATAAATACTGAAATACCAACTGTTGTCATGAGGACAGCAACAATTCTTGAGAAGGAATATTGTTTTTTAGCAACTAGCATACCCATAATCATAACTGGAATCATTTTACAAGATTTAGCCAAAACTTGAGTTGGGTAATTAACATAAATTAAAGCAGCATTACTTGAACTAGAGGCAATAACGTATGCCAATGAAGCTCCAATATAATAATATCTTGGAACAACACTCTTTCTTCCACGTTCACTAGGGTATAACCTAAGTTTACCAAAAGCAGTAATATAATTTAAAACACATTGTAAAAACACCAAAAATAGAGGAAAGTTAAAATAACTATCACCGTAAGGTCTTCTAGTAATTTGCTCTTGATAGGATGACATGGCCATAAAAGTGGCATAAATACCAACTACAACTTGAATCAACTCAAAAGATGACTTGAGGAAAGACTTGTGATGATCGGAACGATTATGTGCTGTATTTGGACTCTTTCCAGTCTCCACATCTTCTTGGTTCATTGATTGAGCAAAATGTCCTTCCATCGGAAAGTTTGCCACAGAAACACTTCTCGGTAATTCCTCATCATCAAAATTTACTATTATTCATACAAAAAATTAAAACAACATTTATAATGATTATAATCATCCCCACATTACAATAAACCTACCATTTGTATATTCCGTATTGTTATCGACTCGTTGTGTTTGTTGCGTGTGTCTTTTATTTATACCAACATGATTCACTCGTTGTTGCATTTTTTTTTTCGGAATGTTTTGATAATTGATGTTTTCTTCTTGCTGTTTTGCGCACGTGTCTTTTTTCATACCAAATTTTAAAGCCATTTTCTGTTATGTTAAGAGGAAGAGCCATTTAGGTGATATGAATGAGTGAGGAATTGATTTGGTGGATATGGATTGACTTGAAAATGGTTCTGTTTCGAATAATAAACGAATTGATAAAGAGTAAACTTTATTGAGTGAATGAGAAATATTAAATAGGCAAGGAATGAAGAACCTTGATCATTTGAATCCTAACACTTGTTGGACAATTGCATGAATTGATATAGAAACTGATCCATAGTACAATTACCACCTTAATCAAATGAGTGACTCTAGTCTCTAGAATATTTGAATGGCTGGTTCAAGGCGATGCAATTCCAATGGAAGTTCCGTAAAAAGCACAATCGGAATCGAGATCACAACATGTTGGAAACCATTTTTGAATGCAAGCTAAATTTGTTTGTATTGTAAACGGAATTACAAAATTTTAATTTTAAAATTTCCAAAAAAGTTTCCTCGGAATTTGAGATACAGGACTATAAATTCAATCACAACACTCTAATCCTTATTTTACACAACAAAAAAAACAAATAATACACAATCACTACTGCAAAACAAGCAATATCTGAAAATGAGCTCCAACAATCATCACAATAATAAGCAATTGGCCAGACAACACAGAACCAATAATTGGGTTGATACTTTCTTTGATGATCCATTCTTGAGAGCATTTGATAGATTTGATGATAGATTAGTTCCTGAATTTAAACCAACTACTGATGTTTCTGAAACTGCAAATGAAGTTAAAATTGTTTGTAATGTTCCTGGTATGACAAAGGATGATTTAAAGATTGATATTGATGAAGAGCATAGAACCATGACTGTCAGTGGTCATGTTGAAAAGGAAAAGAAGGAAGATAATGAAAGATATCACTGTGTTGAAAGATCACATGGTTCTTTCAGTAGAACTGTCTATTTACCACCAAATGCTGATTTTGATAAGGTCAAGGCAGCTTTGGAACATGGTGTTTTGAGAGTTACTATTCCAAAAGTAGTTGAAGAACCAAAGAAAAAGACCAGATCAATTGATATTCAATAATTGTTACTATTTTGTAAATAAATTTTTTGTAAAAATACGACCAATAAATTCTTTAAATTAATCTCTTTATTGTAAATTACGTTTACTTGGACTAGTTGGTGGTCGAACATCAACATCTTCGGCCAAGCTACTGCTTTGAAATAATCCAAATGATTTAC